AGACATTGCCATTACCGGTGAAGTTCTTGCCGCGAGGGGATGCTCCGCTTAGCAGTGCTCTTGTTCGTATTATTTTATTATGCATTTATTTACCGTGAAGTAAAAATGTGATGCTCATACATATATGAGCATAAGATTGGCTTTTTATTTCATAAGAAAAATGTCTCCATGACAAAGTACAAGAACGTATATTAACTATTCTGTCATGCAGGTTCAATGCCCTTGCCTTGTTTTGCTTAGTTTGATTAGACACAAGGTATAGAACAATAGGTGTGAATTATGTTTTGATAGAAATCATATTTGTGTTTAGCAGAAAACTCTCCTGAACTTTTCTGATCAGCCATGGTTGCTCTGTCTCAATAATCTTTTGTAACCTTTTTACATTTTTAACTTTTTCCTAAGAACCACTGGGTCAATTTTAACCAAAGTTGGCACAAACCATCCTTGGGTAAAATGGATTCAAAATTGTTCAATACGTTCTATTTCCACTATGGAAGAGTTATACTTCTTAGTGCGCACTTTTGTGAAAAAGTCGGAAAATGTACAAATCTCGTGGGATTTCTTGGACAAACGTAACATAAACATGTAAACAATATGTTGAATGTCGATGAACAAATCCTAAGAAAATTCTAATGTAATATTTTATTGTTGTGAACTTTATATACATCAAGAGTATGAATGACAATGATATCAATTTATATCTATTGTTGATCGTATGTATCTATTTATCGTATGGTACCTCTAAATGCAATACACATGCCTCGGAAATGTCGTATTTTTTATTAATGGATGATAAATTTAGTGTTCTCGCTCTCTTACATATGTCTTTTAGTTTTTTAGCTCTACTGGTCAGAGACCAGAAGAGCTTATGCGATAGTAAGGTGTCCGTCGTCCGTCCGTCTGTCTGTCTGTCTGTCTGTCTGTCTGTCTGTCTGTCCGTCTGTCTGTAAACAATTTTTCAAAACGCTACTCCTCCTACAGTTTTGGTCCGATTTCAATATAACTTGGCACACAAGTAGACTACACTAAGATACATAATTTAGTGCATCGGTTTTTGATTTCGATGGACGGTGTTGCCATGGTTACTAAAAATAGAAATTTCTGTGAAATTCCTTTAAAACGCTACTCCTCCTACAGTTTTTGTCCGATTTCAATATAACTTGGCACACAAGTAGACTACACTAAGATACATAATTTAGTGCATCGGTTTTTGATTTCGATGGACGGTGTTGCCATGGTTACTAAAAATAGAAATTTCTGTGAAATTCCTCTAAAACGCTACTCCTCCTACAGTTTTTGTCCGATTTCAATATAACTTGGCACACAAGTAGACTACACTAAGATACATAATTTAGTGCATCGGTTTTTGATTTCGATGGACGGTGTTGCCATGGTTACTAAAAATAGAAATTTCTGTGAAATTTCTTTAAAACGCTACTCCTCCTACAGTTTTGGTCCGATTTCAATATAACTTGGCACACAAGTAGACTACCCTAAGATACATAATTTAGTGCATCGGTTTTTGATTTCGATGGACGGTGTTGCCATGGTTACTAAAAATAGAAATTTCTGTGAAATTCCTTTAAAACGCTACTCCTCCTACAGTTTTTGTCCGATTTCAATATAACTTGGCACACAAGTTGACTACACTAAGATACATAATTTAGTGCATCGGTTTTTGATTTCGATGGACGGTGTTGCCATGGTTACTAAAAATAGAAATTTCTGTGAAATTCCTTTAAAACACTACTCCTGCTACAGTTTTAGTCTGCTTCTAATATAATTAGGCATACAAGAAGACTATACTAAGATACATAATTTATTGCATTGGTTTTTGAATTCGATGAACAGTGTTGCCATGGTTACTTAAAATAGAAATTTCTGTGAAATTCCTTTAAAACGCTACTCCTCCTACAATTTTGGTCTGATTTCAATCTAATTTGGCACACAGTTAGAATACACTACGATACATAATATGTATTTCTGTTTTTTTTTTATTTGGGTGAGTGGTGTTGTCATGGTTACCCGTACTAAAAATAGAAATTTCCGTGAAATACTTTCAAAACGCTACTACTCCTAGTTTTCATTTGATTTCAATATAACTTGTCACAAAAGTAGACTACATTAAGATACATAATTCTATTTATTGTTGCATGTTGCAATGTTTCAAATCCAAGTGCTACTTTTCTTTTGTTATACAAACAGACCAGTAGAGCTACAGTCTCATCAGAGACTTCTGGTCTATTCTTTAATTGAAATGACAAATACATTTAACATTTAAAATTGGATTGAGATTGGCATGTTTTGTATTATCCGCAACACCATGCTGTCCCAGTCAGACGACCAAACGCGCCTCTAATTTTGAAGAGTTCACTAATGGAAATAGAACGTATTATAGGACCAAATCCTATTCCAAGAGGAGATAATCAAGAAAAGACAAAATAGGGCTGGGTCATAAAAATCTTCTCAAGAACCACTGGGTCAGAAGAGATGAAACGAAAGTGTTAAAATGTCATTCGAAATATATATATTCTGCCATATGATGGAAATTTTATGGGAAACATTGATTGTTGTAACAGATGAGATGATTTTGGAACGTGAATTAATAAAGAAAAGTGTAAAAGATGTCGATAAAGACTAAAGAGTAGGTAACATGTAGCACTTGTTAAAAAAAAAAAAAAAAAAAAAAAGAATTTCAGAGTGAAAATTAAGTGCCATGAAAAGTTCAGAATGCAGGACTTTGCACCGTTTACCACCATAGCTTCTGGGGGCCTAATGGATACACATGTATGCAGGAAAAGAATGTTCTTCTCCATCACAGCAAATTAAGCCATGCAAGTCATATTAATGAAATTGAAGCATTCCCATGTTTTATGGATTCAGAGACTGTTAGAGTGGGGATTTAATATGGGGTCATAATTTTTCATGGGAATATAAAAGTCTTAAAGTTTTTAAAAATCATCTGAGAACAAAAGTTACAAAATGTTACTAAAAGTTACTAGTACTCAGATGAGCACTGTGGCCCATGGGCCTCTTGTCTGCACTATGTTTCTGCAAATTGGCATTACTTTTACACAAGATAAGTATTTTTTTATTATTCTAAAAAAAATCTCAGTTTCTTTTTCTGCTGTTACCTGGTTGATAAAACATGTAGATACACTAAGGTTAGATGACACTTCTGTTACCTCTTCAAGGCTCAAAGAACCTCATAATGCAGATGTTTTATAGGTTAAATTTGGATATATCTTTACATTTGTCTGTCTGTAAATGTACATTGTACATAAAATATACACTTCATTTACCCATTCGGCTCATTCCAGATTATTAAATGCAGGCTACTTTGGAGAGTTACTTAACTTTGTACATGGATTCTAACTTTGAAGTCAAAGATTGGAACTGCATGTAGACATACATATTTATTATGAAGTGCAGAAATGCCACTGCTGCAATTTTAAAATTTAAAGTATATGTATTATATATAACAAGAAATTCTGAAAGAAAAAAAAATTGAGACTATCAAATGAATGAATATACTTAAAAGAAGACAATTTCATTGTTATTTTTGGAATCCAATTGTTATGAAGAGTATTTTCATACATAAATTGTGTAAAGTAACTGATCATGAGGAACTGTTAGTTAAGATTGATTACTTTTTCCGGAGGGTCACATCTAACAAACATTATGTTCCCTGTTGGTTACCCTTAAGAGACAAGGCTCCCTAGGGTGAACAAAACATCAGATTTGCCCCAGACACATTGACCCAAATTTCTGTGCTAAAAATGTACATTGTATGACTCTTGTTTCTTTACATTTTACCAAGGTGCTGTGCATGTGCTATGCATTATACAGTTTAGTTAACTTTATTATTTTACAATATTAACATAATTGTAAAATAATTAGGTTAACTAAACTGTATTCAGGTGCAGAGCGATGTAGATTCAGAAGAATTAGTAAAGATAAATTTGATTTGGGGGAGATTTTTAAAAGTATCTTAACTGTGAATTAACCATGATATCAGTGCATGACTTTCTTGGTAAAGTCACCATTTAACACTGAATCCCAGGACAAGTTTATTACAAAATACAGTTAAGTCAATGGCAATTTAGATAATGCACTGACTACACTTTCGCTGAAAACATTGAGGATATTGTAACTCCCTATTTAAAAAGATCCCTATTGATTTTGAGGTCAAAATGTCAAAGATCAAGTTCAGAAATTCATATATATTGCAGTAAGAATATGCTTTCAGAATGACATAATGTGAGTTGTTGATTTGGTACAACAGTGAAAACTGTCTAATCCAAACCTGTTCAATCCATTTCACTGAATTCCCACCCTTACTTTGATCCCCATTTTACTATTTTCCATTTTCTTTACATTATGTTATCTGAGATCCTGTCTTTTCCAACACAAAATTTGTCTTCCAGTGCAAGTCAGATAAGACAGGTTTCACAGAATATTTAAATAAGCTCTGAAATCTGAATCCTGCAGTATGAATAGTTTCAAAAGTATAAATCTGTGCCGCCCACTTTGACAGCATATGTATACAAAACTGTGAGTTAAGCATTTTCATGAAAGGTTATTCCAACTTGGCTAGCTATTGTGTAATATTTTTTATTTGTAACAAACTTTCATTTTTTCCATTAATTGTTGTCACTTGATTTGAAAGTAGCCATATTCAAAATTGTTTCTAACAGTAGAAAATCCTATATTTTCTCTGCTTATCATTTCTGTAGGGATAGACATGGATAGACAAGCTTTTTAATACAACTCGGAATCCGAGAGATGTTATAATATTCATACAATATGACGTAACTGAGTAATGACTTTTTTTACATAGGATGATAAAGTCATTAGTTCGGATTTCGGGTTACAATGTGACGTAATTGTGTAATGACTTCTACATTGGATGATAAAGTCAGTAGTTCGGATTTCAGGTTACAATGTGATGTAATTGTGTACATGTAATGACTTTTTACGTTGGATGATAAAGTCAGTAGTTCGGATTTCAGGTCACTGGATGGCCGGCTGCAAGTGTCCCACAGAAAAGGCTTACCCCATGTGATCTACTGCCGACTCTGGCGATGGCCAGATCTTCAGAACCACCAGGAACTACGGGCCATAGAATCGTGTGAGTGGGCCTTCCACATGAAGAGGGAGGAGGTGTGCGTCAACCCCTACCACTACACACGGATTGAACCCCCAGGTCTGTCACCCCAGTATTCACAGTATGGACATATCTGTAAAGTGGGGAATTAAGATTTTCTTTGCTTTCAAGGTATAGGGGGGAAATGCAACCATAATACCTTTTTAGAGAATGTTTGTAGTGGTACAGTAGCGTTTATTCATTTATGTTAGGTAATTCGCATATATTTATATTACGAAGATGTTGAAAAGACGGCTTTTCAAAAATATCATATTCCCCTTTTTTATAGTCTTTAATTTAAAGTATTTGCAATAAAACATGAAATAAAAGTAACACTAGATGACAAGGCAACCTATTTTATATGCTGTTGTATGCATAGCTGACAACTGAACTGTTAAAATGAGTGGTTATCTATAATGTAACAGCAGGAGAAGAACATAAAGTAAATGTATTAGTATGTAAAATATTTGGTGGAAATATATTTTTTCATCTAGAGTTAATATAGATTTCATATAATGTATGTATTAATTTACATACATGTATATGCAAGTCATTTAGGGATATAAACTAGTTAATTTAGCATGTTTAGTATCCTAATGAAGCTGCATTTCACAGAACAGAATACACACCCAAATGTAATAGCTTTACAGTATCTATTAAACAGCATTACATTTGTGAATAGATTTTTAGATGTTACAAAAAATAGCCTTATTTAATCTATCGTTAATTTATTCCAGTCCTACCACCTGTGCTGGTTCCCCGTCACACAGAGGTACCAGACAAGATGCCACAGATTGAAAATTATGCCATGACAGTTCCAGAAAACACTGAGTTCCCCACTGGAAACAATGAGATTTTCAATCTTCCAGGTAAAAAAACAAGGTTCACATGGGCATAAAGAAAAAGGTCTATCATAGATTGTCAATCCACTATATTTGTGAAAAATTTTACCTCTAGACTTTGAACTCACAAAATTTTGTGTGATAATACAGTATGTATCCCTGTACAGAAATTACGAAATGCATGACCCCTGGGTCTATCATGGTCTATGACTCAGGCTCCAGGTTAAAGAAAAGTAAGATGTCAATCAGAGAAAATCTTTTTAAGAGTGCTAAGTATACCTGCAGTGCTTTTTGTCACCAGATGGATTTCTACTTTCAACTACCACCAAATAATATTTATGTGTGTAACAAGTTGATCTTCGAAACGTCTTAATACGTAATGTTTGCCTAATGCGGCAAGTGCAGTAAAAGCAGCGGTGAGGAAAAAAACATAGTTCCTTACATAAAGTTTAAGAAGAAAGATGCTTTTGAAAAATACTTGTGTATTACATTGAACGATAACTGATCCCTTTGTATGTGGTCGTGAATTTTCCGCAGAAATTTGTCACAGTGTACTTTAAGTGCATTCAATGTCAATACAAGAAATCCACATAATTTTCAACCAGCAGATTGAACAGAAATTGTAATTCTGCTCAATTATGACATCATGGATAAAAGTTTGTTTATGGTATTTGAAAGTCAGCTGAAGATTTGGAATAATGTCATTTTTAGCTCACCTGAGCTGAAAGCTCAAGTGAGCTTTTCTGATCACCCGTTGTCCGTCGTCCGTCCGTCCGTCTGTCCGTCCGTCCGTCTGTAAACTTTTCACATTTTCAACTTCTTCTCAACAACCACTGGGCCAATTTTAACCAAACTTGGTACAAAGTACCCTTGGGTGAAGGGGAGTTTAAATTGTTAAAATAAAGGGCCAAGTCCCCTTACAAGGGGAGATAATCAAGAAAAGACAAAAATAGGGTGGGGTCATTAAAAAATCTTCTTCTCAAGAACCACTGGGCCAGAAAAGCTGAAACTTATGTGGAAGCATCCTGGGGTAGTGTAGATTCTAAATTGTTAAAATCATGACCCCCGGGGGTAGGGCGGGGCCACAATAGGGAATCCAAGTTTTACATTGAAAAATATAGGAAAAATCTTTAAAAATCTTCTTCTCAAGAACCACTGAGCCAGAAAAGCTGAAACTTATGTGGAAGCATCCTGGGGTAGTGTAGATTCTAAATTGTTAAAATCATGACCCCCGGGGGTAGGGCAGGGCCACAATAGGGAATCCAAGTTTTACATTGAAAAATATAGGAAAAATCTTTAAAAATCTTCTTCTCAAGAACCACTGAGCCAGAAAAGCTGAAACTTATGTGGAAGCATCCTGGGATAGTGTAGATTCTAAATTGTTAAAATCATGACCCCCGGGGGTAGGGCGGGGCCACAATAGAGAATACAAGTTTTACATTGAAATATATAGGAAGAATCTTTAAAAATCTTCTTCTCAAGAACCACTGAGCCAGAAAAGCTGAAACTTATGTGGAAGCATCCTGGGATAGTGTAGATTCTAAATTGTTCAAATCATGACCCCGGGGGTAGGGCGGGGCCACAATAGGGAAACATTGAAATATATAGGAAAAATCTTTAAAAATCTTCTCAAGAACCACTGGACCAGAAAAACTGAAACTTATGTGGAAGCATCCTGGGGTAGTGTAGATTCTAAATTGTTCAAATCATGGCCCCCGGGGATAGGGCGGGGCCACAATAGGTATTACAAGGGGGAAGTCTGGTAATGAACAGCATGGCCAAAGTTACTCAGGTGAGCGATGTGGCCCATGGGCCTCTTGTTTTTAAATATCAGTTTTATTTTTGATCCATTTGAAAACATTTCGGAATTTTTTTAAAACGTGCATTCACCAATCATGTTTCCTATAAAGAAATCTTGCATATTTTTAGTATTCCTCATCATACAGCTAATTATTAATACAAATGTTTTATCACTTTAAATGTAAATGTTTCAGTACAGGAGATGTGTCCAGGGGGGCATTTTTCAATAATGGCCTGCTATTTGTTGACTGGTGTGATTGTCCATTTTGTAAACATTTAGTTACACACTCTTTGATTGGACTTCAATTTAGGGTATGAGGGCAACATCTGATTTGTTGGACCTGGCCAAGGGCAACATTTTCACCTTCAGGTCCAACAAATCAGATGTTGCCCGAATCCCAGTCTATAACTGTTTTGTTATACCCTTCACTTAAGATAGAACACTAAAATTAAAAACCTTTGAACAGATTTACTCATATAATTTAAACAATTTCTTTATAAGTAATATTTTGGCTTTTTAATAAAAATGACAACAACAAAGAATTAAAAAAAAAAAATCATTTAAAATTATTATAACACAGAAATTATTTATCACAAAACATGATTTTTCCTGTGACGCCATCTTTCAGATAGTATACGTGGTAACTCTTGAAACTTCGACTGTTTCCTTTTTGCTGATATTGAACAGAGACTAATTACTTGTGACGTGGCAGTAACAATTCTTATGTTGGACTGACAGACTGGTCAACAATGAAATTGTTAGACAGATGAAAAAAAACATTTACTTTGTTGGACTTTTTATTTGTAATAAATATATAGAAAGATATTTTTAAGGATATAACAATAATAATGTATTGTATCTTTGAAAATTATCTTCTATCCCTTTGTCATTTATCATTCAAACTGATTTAAATATGCATTGGCAGAAAAACTATACATGCTATATGTATGGTAAGTTCACTATCAAAATTAAAATTCTCATGTCACTTGGGTCTAAAGATCCTGTTCTAGAAGGAACTAACTTGGTCATTTGTCAAAAAACTTTTAATATTCAGGTGACCATTGAGGCCCACGAGCTTTCATATTAATTTTTGAAAACCGAAAGTTTTTTCAGTGATTTTTAAATATCACTTATATAATTAAGTTCCTTATAATTGCGCTAATATATTTTTTAGTTAATATGAACTTTTGCTTCCAGGTTCAACGACATTATACTCTTTTTCTAAATGAGATTGTTAATATCCATACAGAAGTGAAAATTGAATCATAATTCTTTAATAAATGAATAAATGTCATTTTTTTGTTTTTCTGCTTTCACTGAAAGTGGGAGATATTAATTTGAGTCTGTCCATCTGTCATTCTGTCTGTGTGTGACACTTTCTTTTCTGGACAATTCTCAAAAAAGCCTTTGAGCTTTTTCAATGAAATTTTATATTACAACTCCCTATGGCCTAAAGAAGATGTTTATTGATATTGAGGTCAAAAGATCAAAAGTCAAGGTCAGAAATTCATACATTCTTTCTGTGTGTTACATTTTCAACCATTATTTGCAAACATTATCTCAAAAAACCTTTGAGGTTTTGCAGTGAAAATTATATCACAACTCTTATGGCCTTAAGATGACTTCTATTGATTTTGAGATCAAAAGGTAAGAAAATCATACATTACAGAAAATGGTTTCCAGGTAATAACTTTAAATAAGTTTTCTTGGAGCTTTTTCAGTGAAATTATATATTTAATATATATTATAACTCCCGTTGACTTTAAGAAGACCCCTATTGATTTTTAGGTCAAAGGTCAAGTCAGAAATTAATACATTGCAAAAATGGTTACTTGGTGATAACTCAAATTCTTTCTGAGGTTTTTGCAATGAAATTTAATATTTTATACGTTTACCCCTATTGGTTTTGAGGTCAAAAGGTCAAAGACCAAGATAAGATATTCATTTATTGCATACATAGTTCACAGATGATAAATTAATTTCTCATAAGCTTTTGCAATGAAAATTAATAATTATCATTATAGCTTATAGCAAACACAAGCGTGCTTTATTGTATACAGGATAACATTTTTTTATGACACAGACTTCAAAAGTAGAGCTGTTATGAGATTATTTGACAATTTTTTTTCATAGAAAATCAGCATATAGCTTAACAAGGACTGTAAAAGTAACACTGTCAAGGATTATTTCAACTTCAGCAATCCAAAATAAATTACAATTGGGTAAGGCAGCTGTGTCCTGGTGGCAACATTGAAATTAGATAATGTAATAATTATGTGATGTTCCAATCAAAGTTTTAGTATTGACCAATGCAAGATAGTTGTCAGATAGAATATATGTATACTAGAATAATTTGTTTGCCCATGTTAATCTATGTTCATAATAAATAGTATTACAGTAAATAGTTTTGGAGTAAGGTTCACTGCAATACTATAATTAGCACATCACACTCTGTACAGTGTACTCTCAACAGATTTTGGTAAATCTTTGAAATACTGATATATCATACAAAACACCATTATGTATATAGAATGTGCCTAGATTACTAAAGCTGCAAGCAGTTCTGTTGAAAACAGAATAATTCAAGAGAATTCTAGAGAAAACAGATCCAAGAGCTGGCATGACGACATGAATCTTTTCTCAGATGAATGTATTGCTTGTAAGGTTCAGTGTTACATGTATATGTGTCTGCAAAAGGTAGACAGCAATCATTATACGTGCAAGGACAATTTACACTTGATGCATTTTAGTCTTATTAGAAATTCTCTCCCACCCCTTCATTGTGAATATTCCATGATCCCCCAACTGGTTGTTTTTGTCTGGAAGGTCAATGGCTTTATTAGGTCTAATACAGTGGTAAAAAACCAAAATAAACACACACACAAAGATTGCCTAGACTTCTAGCAGACTCTCAGATCAATACTGAAGATGTGGCCCATTTATATATAGGAATATATAGGTAGTCCAGGAAGGCTGTATAGATTTTTTTTTGTGTCTTTCGCTAGACAGATTTCTAGTGTGTTGCAGTGACATTACTGCATAAAGCGGCATGTCAGATTCTTCTAACTTGCTCACCGCGGCGGCGCACATTATTTGATATTTTGTGTTTTTCTGCGTCTTTTTTACTGGTTGCGGACCTGGTGGCAGAGTACGTGCCTAAGATCTTATACCTTCGTTTGGCAAATCTGTGCTGGAATTTCTGTTTTAAAATCAGTTGTTGACTTTAAAGGAGACAAAGAATTCATTTCTTGAAATGTAGAGGAATGTAGTAACTTTTCGTGGACATATCTTTCTGTGACATCTGTGTATGATGAAATGTTATAGTTGGAGGATCTAAAAGGAGCGTATTTTTAAGTCATGTATCCTTTTGTGAGATGTATAGGATGTGGAGACAATTTGTTGTGAGATTTGGGTACTTCTTTTTCAGCCCTCTTTATACAAATTTATCCTAAAACAGTTTTTTTTAAAAAAAAGTTAAACTGGCTTTCTGAATTGTTATTCTGAAAATCTCGAGTTAACCCTTCAGCAAGGGTTAGCTTTATTACCATCTGTGAAGAAATTGTTTTAATAAGCATGATAAGTACATTTGTTTCTCTGGAAAGAAAAACAAGTATGTGGTCTGTTATAAGGTTTTATATTAACAAAGGATTAGGTTTCAGTAGTTGTGCTAATTGAGATGTACTTTTTTTTTATTTGAGACCAAAAAAAAAAAAAGAAAAAGGAATATTATTTTTAATTGTTTGAGGTCTGGAATTCATGGGAATTATTATGATTAACCAGAATATTTATAAACACTTTTAATTATTTATGAACAAGTGCTTCTTATACAATTCACTATACAGAAAACAAAGTCAGGGTAACGGTAAACTTTTCGCCTTGTCATACAGATTATCGATACTTTTTTCTTTTTTTGTGATATGACATAAATCAGTAATTGTGAATTACTCTAAGGGTTATTGAGTAATTTTTGTCTTCTTCATCAATTATGATATATGATCACAACAACAACATTTTCTACTATCAAGTGTTAGAAAAGGTGTGACAAAATAGAATTAAAAAATAGAGATGGAAAACGTTTCTTGTGTGGGCATTATAATCCATAGCATCAACACAGAATGATGTTTTCTAAAAGTTCAGGAGTTAATATGTCTTTCATATATGGGATGAACTTGCCAACCAAAACCCTAGAGAGTCAACCTCTTAGTGTGCACATCTGTAGCTCAAGTAGTGGTAAGTACATGTGAGAGAGGCAATCCGTTTGAATTAAGTGGTAATGAAAGTGTGGGAAGGGAAATTGTTTCAGAGTAGGTGGGAGATGCAGGTGATTCAGAATAGTATTGAGTAGGTGGGAGATGTAAGTGTTTTAGAGTGGAATTAAGTAGACAGGAGATGCAAATGCTTCAGAAGTGTATTGAGTAGGTGGGAGATGTAAGTGTTTCAGAGTGTCTGAGTGGCAGGTTAAATTCAGAGTATTGAGTAGGTGGGAGATGTGTTTTAGAGTAGAATTTAGTTGGTGGGAGATGACAATGCTTCAGAGTTGTATTGAGTAGGTGGAAGATGTAAGTGTTTCAGAGTGTCTGAGTGGATATTGAGTAGGTAAGAGATGAAAAGTGTTTCAGAGTGTCTTAGTGGACATTGAGTAGGTGGGAGATGCAAGTGACTCAGAGTTTAATTGAGTAGTTGGGGGATGCAACTGTTTCAGAGTTGTATTGAGTAGTTGGGAGATGCAAGTGTTTCAAAGTAGATATTGAGTAGGTGGGAGATGCAAGTATTTCAAAGTTGATATTTAGTAGGTAGGAGATGTAAGTGTTTCAAAGTGGTTATTGAGTAGTTGGGAGATGCAAGTGTTTCAAAGTGGATATAGAGTACTAGGTGGGAGATGCAAGTGTTACAGAGTGGATATAGAGTACTAGTTGGGAGATGCAAGTGTTTCAGAGTGGATATAGAGTACTTGGAGATGCAAGTGTTTGAGAGTGGATACAGAGTACTAGGTAGGAGATATGTTTTCAGAGTGGATATAGAGTAGGTGGAGAGGAGAAATTTCTCAGGGTAATACATACAGTCAAACCTCCTTATCTTGAACTCGATGGGATTGATAAAAAACTTCGAGATATGTGAGGATTCGAGATATCGGGGGTCAAATACTTAAAGAATAAGTAGTTGGGACTTCCAAATCACTTTGACATATCCATGGTATTCGAGATATCAGTGTTCGAGATACCAAAGTTCAAGTAGGTACAAGTGTTTCAGAGTGGGATTGAGTAGGTGGTGTATGCAAGTAATACAGAGTGGTTCATCTATAGAGTAGGTTGGAGGTTCAAGTGATTTATAGTGGTATTGAGTAGATGGGAGAGGTTAGTGGGTTTTCTCGCATTAAATTTGAAAGTCTGCTGGAAAAATTGATGCATACATGCCACAAACATTTGGGTAACCCTGACCATGGTCCATCAATGAGAGCATTATCTTGTCAAGGAAAACAGTTGCCAGTGTCAACATCATAATGAAATTCCTTAGTGAAATCATAGATATAATTATATTTTTAATTAAATTTTATAAAGTTATGTTTGATTTTTAATCTTGAATGTGAAATTAAGTGGCTTCAAGTTGTTGATACCTCTTTCAACCAAAATTCCTCCAATTTTCTTAATATTATCCACATCGGATATGTTTCTTGTGCCTGTTCAACCATCGCATACCAGTTCTAATGGAAACATAAAATGCCAGAAAACAATCTGCACATCATTATTGATCAAGAGTGCTTTTCAGAGAATATTCGCTTTAAAACAGAACCCTTTGCCACCAAATTCAAAATGTTACCGTAAGCCAATTTACACCTTGAGTGGTTTAAAAACTTACACTGCTTGGGCAATTAGTGCAATATTTAAGAAATAATTAAAATCTGAGGAATTGTTGGAGAATATACCCTGGATGTTGATTTGCCAACAAAATCCTGAGGGGTATAGACTCCAACAATTCTGATGACAGAACTATTTCTACTCTGCTACAGCAAATATTTAAACTTCTATCATGTTCTATATAGAGAAATGCAGAAGCTAGATTTGGACATCATCAGAAGTGTCTTATGACAGCACAATAGAAAGCTACTCCTCATTCATTAGTGTAATCCGAACCTAAAGTAAATTTTTTCCCACCAATTTGCATCACAATCAAAAGATACCTCTATCCTTTTCCTGGTGAACACAGTCAAAATTAGAGAAAACTGATTTAAAATTATTGATAATTTGTTGATGACATTTGTAATTTATTGGAGAATAATGGCCACAGCATCTCTTTGATCTTTGCGATAACCTTAGTAGAATTATACATAACTGTCTGTCTCAAATATATATATATATATATATATATATATATATATATATATATTAAGATTTAAATAACAAGTTGGAAATGAAGGGGGTTGGTCTTTGGCCTTCACAGTATTTGATTGCGAGGCCAATCCACTTCATTTCCCAGTGAATTTTTTTAAACTTATTTATTTTTAGAATAAATTCTGTTTAAAATTGTATTTATGGTTCCCACTAATGATATACCATACATTTATGACAAAAGTCTGCGCCTCAGTGATGTTTGACTAATCAAAATTGCAGAAAAATGCAGTGATCTTCCTTTGATGCAGAAGATTGAATTGAATACCAGATTGTGTAAAAAAAAAAAAAAAAGAAAGAAAGAAAAAATGGGATGAGCTGCTCTGTATTCTGAAAATTTTAAAAAGAATTATGCTTGATAATAAATGTTTTGAAAAAAAAATGAACTTAAGTGTTATGTGTTAGAATTTCATATGTGTTAGAATTTCACTGCAAAACTTCACTGGCTTGGTAATCCTTGCAAATGATGAATTAATGTATGATTGTAATATTATGTTAATCAAAATAGTCCATCGAGACTCAAAGATTTTTATTCCCCCAAGCATTTGTTTTTGTAAATTTTATTTGAAAACTTCAACTAGTAAATGTGAAATGAGAAAAAATTGGGAAAAAAATTGGACTTGGTGATATCTTCTTTGTCTATTGAATTTTTAGCTCTACTGGTCAGAGATCAGAAAAGCTTATGTGATACATGTAGTAGCCTGGTATCTGTCTGTCTGTCAGTTTTTCTTCAAAAACACTACTCCTCCTACAGTTTTGGTCTGATTTCTGTATACAAATAGACTTAACTAAGGTACCCATCTCCTCCTATAGGCCCTTTAGTCCAAGTTCAATAAAACATATGGTAAACAAGTAGAGTACAGATACACTAAGGTACATAATTCTGTTTATTGGTTTTTACCTCACATGCACCAGATGTTCAAGTGAGCTTTTTTCTGTTGGAAGAGTGTCTGGTGTCTGTCCTGTGTTGTACTACGTCATCTGTATATTTTTATTCCCCCACTTTCCTTGACTTCTCCTCCAGAATCACTGGTGCAAATTCAACCAACTTATCTCAAAGCATCCTTGGATGAAGCTTATTAAATAGCATACATGTATTTAACATTTTTCCAAATATATTCAAATAAGAGGTTTTTTTTTCATTTGCAAGGTATTTATTGACTTATTTTACATTGAGTCAATCAGTTTTTTGGAGCATACCTTTTAGATTTTTTTTTCTTTTCGGAACACCATTCTTAAATATATATGTTACTAAGTTCAGACATTTTTTTAACTATATTTGTTTGTTTTGATTGTCTTTTAGGAATTTTCTTTTATGAAATTGGGAAAAACACATACTTTTTACCATTGGGAATAGGGCATAAAACAGGCCCCCTATGACTCCCACAAAAAAATCCTGAAACCAGTAGAGCTAGTCTCATAAGAGACTTCAGATTTTTTCTGATTTTTTTGAGTAATTAATGTTCTTGATTTTTTTTCAGAGACCCCACCCCCAGGTTACATCAGTGAGGATGGTGACACAACGGACAACCAAGGCATGGGTAAGGACATGACACAATGTCAAGATTGGGTTTTATTTTAAGCTGTATTCGTTTTGGAGTATTCAGGACTTAATCTTATTGTTATAGGCAGAATTAGGAATTACAGACCCTGAAATATACTTCTAAATTGTCAATTCAAAACTTTTACACCAAAATTCAAAGACAAACTGACTGATCCCAATGACTAATCAAAGTTAATGTTTTGATATGATACACTTTTGAATGATGATACATGTGTTTACTCCATCAGTCATATGATATTGTTTTTGTATCAACAGTTACGATATCACACTGGTTTTTTTGTGAAAGTGATGAAGTCAAATTTAATGGATTCACATAGGAAACCAATGTAAAATGTGATAGCAGCGTGTAAACTTATATAAAAGAATCTACCATGGCTTGTAGAAAGATATGACTTTTATCCACCTCGTGTGTGTCCCCTTTCCCTGGCTCAGGGGTTGAAAACACACAACCTGTTGGATAAAAATCATATCCAACCACAATCCATTGGAGATCCTATATATATCTTTACTTACAAGGAAATATATATTGCTTCTGCCCTAGTACAGATCATATGAAAAAATGTGTATTTAAATAAAAACAATTTTAAATTATAAATTTGTTCCTAGACATGAAGCTGTCAAATGTTAAGCATGATATTTATGAGCATATAAACGACCTCTATCAACAAATTAAGTATCTTGAAAAGTAGTGCAAATGTGGACATCTCATTTATCTTTCCACTTCAAAATCAAGAACTGTTAGTATCAATGAGCTATTATGTGCAAAAAAAAAAAAATTGGAATTTTCTCTTTATTTTTATGTTAACTGCACCTCAAAATCAATATATTGCTTTTCAAAATTTTCATAAAGATAATTTGAAATGCTCCAGGAGAAAAGGTAAAGATTAATAAAGATTTTTATGAGTAATTTTACATCGTGAAATCTTGAAAGTTTGCAGTTACTCAAGAGACACCAAAATTTCTTAATGACAAATGCTTGGGTCAGGGGCAATTCAAGAATACTATTAATTTTAACAGGTAGTAGAATAATAACCTCATTCTGTCATTGCTGAAAAAGTTCTTCCAGTAAATTTAGAAGAAAAGGATGAGAGAGCAGTACAATTAATCCCCTGGGCTTAATTATCTTTTCTGCTACAGAAAATTTAGAAGCTTATCTTCATCTGTCACTTTAAGATTAAACAACACCTTTGTCTGCAACTGATATTTGTTTTGAAAATAACGTCAAGCCTTTAAACCAACCATTTGTCTAAATATTTATATCACAAAAGAGTCCTAGTGTAAAAGTAAGCCATTGCCTGTAAAAGTATGTGCTTCTCGCAAAAGTCCACTAATAACTGTAAATTATGTTATTGAAAGGTCAATTGAATAACGGAATTATACAAGAATTTTCATAACATTTAATACAAAAGTACTTTGAAATTCATAGTTTTTAATGGTCAAGTAGTTTTAAAAAATAGATAAATGAAAATGGGTCAAAAATACCTTATCTTTGTACATTAAATGTTCTTTTAAAGGCCAATGTGAGAGGGAATTAGATGGGATTACTAATAACTGTGCTCATGAAGTATTGTTTTGTTTAGTCCACATGGGGATTAAGACAAAACTTATATATATTTGTATCAATTTGGAATTTCCCGATCTATTTTTAGACCAATGTAGAGAAAATAAATCCTTATATTCCCCTGGAAGGTCACATGCAGGTGAATATAACGTAGTATTTTTTCTACATTGTTGGATCTCGGCCAATCAGAGAGAAAGGAAATATTCATTCATATAATAAAGTTTAATATTTTTTCAGCCTAAGTTGTATGGATTCAGGTTGATTCAAATTATGGATGCTGGGGCTAAAAATGGGATTAAATTTAACATTATAGATTATAAATATAATATCTAGGAGAAAAAATCTTTAGAAGATAATTTTCTCAAGAACAGTAAGGTCATGTTAGGCATACTGATACTGAAGCATCCAAATGCGTTTGTTTATCTTTAGATCATATTGAACATGATAAAGAGGGGAAAAAAATCTTTTAAAAATCTTCTGAAGAACATGAAGGCCAAGTTGACTCAGATGAGCAATGTTGCCCATGGGCCTATTTTGTATGGCTTTGTAGAATTATTCTTTTTTTATTTTCCAGTTGGATTATGTGTATATCTAGCTTTGAACTATATGAAACATTGACATTTCATGGATGAATATTGCAATACATTAGCATACTGAATGTATCACATACCCTTCACATCTTGTAAAGGCTGTAGAATCATTCATACGACAAACCACATTTCAAGTAACCAATCAAATTGAATTTATAAATCGTGTGAATGTTGCTCTTACTCCAAGAATAGATTGATAATGAAATCATTATAGCACCTTGTTTACAGAAAATGTCTTTTTCAGACGGAGTGGATGTCCATTCTCCAAGTCCCCCTATTGGTAAGTACACATTCAAATACTTAGACCAAAGTTTTTATTTTTTTGGTTTACAATTTTCTGTCTCAAAAAAATGCATCGGGTGGTCGAAAAATAAAAATAGAAATAATTTAGGATTCAACAATTTCATTTTAAAATACCAGCAATGTTTATTTTAATGAAAATAATACACGTCAGTAGTACTTTTAAGTTTTATTGTCTAGATCGCATAACTCTTTTTATTTAATTTTAATTCATTTCTAACTTTAGACTGAATGTCATTTTCATTTTGTTCTGATTTTTGTTTATCAATCAGTGCTTGGTTCATGATGTTCAACTTCTTTTTGTGCTCTTCAGTGATATGTGATGTGTTATAAACCTCAGTATCCCCACAAACTAAAAATAAGGATCCAAATTTAAGTTAAATTTAGATTGAAGAAAAATACAATTTGATTATTTAACAATATTGAAAGTAATTGACGTTGAAATAAAGGTTATAATAATTTGATCATGCAGCTATCAAATTTAATGTTCAAATAATTTCTCAATCATGTCTTTTTTTAAATTTAGGTAATGCTCATTATTTACTTAGTAATTCAGAGGGCTCTGATCTCAATTGAGTATCAAATTTGCAAAGATTTGTATATTAAAATTACTTCTATAAATTAACAAAATGTTTTATACACATTTGAATTTATCCAGTGAAATACCTGCAGTCAGCTTTACTTCAACTAAGATGTATCTCTGAACACTAAATTGGCTTCACTATTATCCATGGATTTATCAGCCTATTTTGGGAAACACCATTTTGGGGGAATTGGGAAAAAATTATCGGCTATTAGATGAAATTGGAAAATTTTTTAAAATGTTGTTTAAATCATGTATTCAGGGATAATTCATTTAACATTTCAGCATGAACTCTTATTTGGGCAACCAAACAACAATTAAATATGATCCATCTTCATCATACAATGATACAAGAACAATTTGAATAATAGACTAATAAAGGTAAAATGGACTTCAATGAGTATAAAGTATTTATACAACTTAGGGTAGTACATGTACATGTGTGTAGGAGATTTCAATTTAGGTCATTATAGTATCTGTTTCTGAAGATTATAAACCTCCTGCAAAAAATTATACTACGTACACATTTTCTAAAAGTCCTCTTTTAATATGTATTAATGCATTGAAAATACATTTTTCTATCTGAAATAATGCCTAAAGTCCTTACCATTCACTCGCAGATCAATTGAGTCAGTGGAAATAACTTAATAAATCTATATAATTACACAATATCATCATTTTTATAAAATGGAGGAAATTCGGATTAAAAGTTGGCGATGTTTTTCAGTGTTTTTAAACATGTGTTATGACTGTAGCTTTGCGTAACTATGAGTTAAATAGATGAAAATTACAGACAATCTGACAATTTTACTTTTTTCCATAGATAATTAGACATAAAAGCATTGTTCACCAATTGGGAAAAAATACTGCCAAATTGGGAAAAACTGAACTCATTTTCAATTGGGAATGAGGCCGAATTTCGGCCCATGAGAATGCACTGATAAATCCCTGTTATCTATAGGTGTATCCGTGTCTGCGAGGTCGATCAGGGTTGGGCATACACTCTCCAATATTATGGTATGAATTTAGCCAATTGAGACATCGCAATTAGAGAAAGGGATCATGCATCCAAGATTTTATTCACTTTTCCATGCAGAAAAAAGTTCTTTAAGTGTGTGTCATTTCAGTTAGGAATTACCTTGGTACATGACAGAACCGCCATTTTTGGTTTGCACGTGTTTATTTACGGTCATCTAAATGTTTGTAAAGGTCTCATATATTTATAAGTGCTTATTTGACTAAGATGCATTCTAAAATTTAAAACCCACCAGTTCAGCTGAGAAAAATCTGGAAAAATATCGGAAAAAGACATTATTTTTATTTTCATGATTGGTGAAAATTAGGGTCGGCGGAATCGTAAACCAAAAGAAAAAAAAACTTTGGCCTTAGATATATAGTGGTTTTATCAATATTATAGAACATATTGAAACCCATTTAGGGAATTTTTTTTTAACATGACCCATTCTGCACAACTGACAAAATCACAAAATTTTCTTGCAAGCATATTGATAAAACATATATATATATTTGCACAAATAATTGAATGTGGGATGGGTCCCACAGACTTGCCACAAGGAGTGAAGTAAGTTCAAGCTCCATATCATGATATCATATTTTTCACAACTTTAAATTGCTATTGAAAAACCACAGGTGTTTTTGCAATGATTATCACGACACAGGACTACTGTAGCCTTAAATATTATCTACATTGTATTAGCCCAATAGATTGTGTTTTATTAGCCAATTGTTCTGTATATAAAATACAGACTAATCTAGAAGTAAGTCAAAACAACTATCAGTGCAGAAGTTTTAGACAAATATGCAAATATTAAAACAACAAAAAAGAAACTGTTTGTCTTCAAATTTGGAATGTTGAGTAAATATTTCCTTGCAGATTTTAATATATTTTCTCGGTCATTCAGTTTGGTACAAGTTACTTCCAAACAAAAAGGAAAATGGGCAGTTGTGGAAATCCTGTGTGGGATAACCCCCCCCCCCCCAAAAAAAAACTTGATGGGTTGCCATGCATAGTTTTTTTTTACAGGTCCTTCAGAATGATCCTGATAGACTGGAGAAACATATTCTTCTAGTGACTGCAGTGAGTAGAGGAGGCTTCAGTGACTTCCATTTTGTTTTAGAGAATGTCTATATTGATTGTTGTATGGAAGAGGATATGGGCTGATCCAAGATCTTTCATTCAAACATCTCTTTGTGGCTGAATTTCTGCCTCGTGTACACATGCTATGTACAGATGTGCTAGGCATTCCTTCCTGTTGTGATTAGTGTAATTTCTATGAAGTCCTCCTTCTTTTGGCAATTTCTTCAGTAAAAATTTCACTTCATTTATTCCCATAACCTGTCTGCCATAATATAAAGGCTTTGACAAGGTTTTAGGAATTGGGCATTAATAAATTGGCTTGAGCTGTCTAAAGATATATATTCCAAATCACTCTGTTAAGCACCAGGTACATGCAAATTTTAAAACAATACCTATTTAGTTAATTTATTAAAATATATGGGGTAATAGTTGTTGAATTACAAGCTTGTAACCTCCCTCCCCCTCCTCTCAAATGAATCAAATAGGTAGCTGAATATGGTCAGAACAAGGAAATCTGATACTAACTTGTAGGTTTTGGAGCTTTCCTAAGATTGATGTCCAGGGACATTGTTTCTTATGGAAAATTGTTTGCAATGTAAGTTGTGAAGCTTATCACATGCCTTAAACCAAACATTTTACTTTTATACAAAAAAAACATTGGATGTTGTAATTGTTAATTTTTGTGGGAGTCCAATATTAACTACATTTTCAATAAATGTGATATATTCGAAAGGGAAACTAAATGTCTTGATTAACAGGACATGTGTATAGATATTCTTGCTAATTATGTTTTTTATACACCCGTTAGCTGTTTATTAGTAATGAATTTAAGTCATTGTCTTTGAACACTGTTAGATAAGGACTGAGTTCATGAATACACATGAGTATTACACATTTTGATTGTCCTGGGCAAACAGTGCAAACAATAAGCTGTGAAGTTGATCTTAGTTTCTAGTTGAAAGATCAAGGTCAAAAGGTCTTTTTGTGAAATGCTTGTCAAGAGCATATATTCCCTCCCCTTGCCCCAATCTGGCTGGTTCTTGACCCACAGAGTGTCCATGTTTAAAGGGTGTGTTGTCCACATGTATTCAAGTTTCTAGTTAAAAAAGGTCAAGGTCAAACTGTAATTTGTATACAATTTTTTTGCACTGCAGAGCTTTATATGCTTTCCCTCCATTTCACCAAATTTGACTTAAATATTATGTTGACCTTCAGGGTGTCGTCAGGTGAAGAGTGTAGTGATATAGTTCCAAGTTTCTTGGTATAGGTCAAGGCCAGAACAGATTGTTATGTACAAGTCACTCATCAGAAGTATCTATAAGTGATATTTAGTGATATCATCTTTGTCTTTAATATGAAACAAGGTGACAAAGGAATGTTCCAGAATAATTAAAATGACTTTCTTTCAGATGCTGAGCCAGTCTCCTATATAGATCCTCCATATTGGTGCTCTATTGCATACTATGAATTGAATAATCGTGTGGGGGAGACATTTCACGCCTCTCAGCCATCGCTAACTGTGGATGGATTTACAGATCCCTCCAACTCTGAACGCTTCTGTCTAGGACTACTCTCCAACATCAATAGAACACAGCAGGTGGAGATGACACGCCGCCACATAGGTCAGTGTTACAGCAGTAAATATCACTTAGTTAATGAGAGATAAAAACAGTACCAGGAAGTACAAGAAAAATAAAGCACAATACAAGCTTGTATGCATTGGTAAGGTTTCTATCAATTTGTCTGTAAAAAAAGAATTTCAAATTGCTAGTCCTCCTATAGCTTTGATATGATTTTATTAAAACTTTGTGACTGAGTAGTACATGTAGACTATATCAAGCTAACAATCCTGTACATCAGATTTTGGGTTGAGAGGCTGCCTTAAATGTAATGCAAAAGTCTGAAACAGTTGAACTTTGATATCTCGAACACTGATATCTCAAATTCCATTGATATGTTGAACTGATTTGGAAGACACATCCACTTATTCTTAAAATATTTTACCCTTGATATCTCAAATCCTCAGATATCTCGAAGTTTTTTCTTGGTCTCACTTGGTTTGAGATAATGAGGTTTTACTGTTTAACCACCTGTTATAAATATGTACAATGTGAAGTGAATGCCAAATAGAGAAACTATTAACATTAAAAATTGTAATCTAATTAAAAAGAAAAGATCAATTTCTAGTACTTAATACCCCTCTTAACTCTAGGAAATGTTCAGTCACACCTGCCAGTACATAACTAGGAATGTAACAATACATTGACACAGCAATGTATTGTGATGCTGAAGGGGTCAATTCCATACTTCATTACATAAAATAAAGTATCATTTTTTTTAAATAACTTTGAGAAGTATTAAATGTGCGTGGTTTGGTCTTAAAGAAGAAGGCATGGTTCAGGCTTTATTATGCCCTAAATATTTGATGTTTTCAAAAAGTTTTGAAATTTGGTTAAATATAAGTTGAATATATGAAAGTGATAATCATGATGGAATTTGGCTTAAATAAGGACTTACTTGAAACATGACATAATTAATTTGTTACATTTTTAAGTTTTAAACAGAAAAAGCCTCAAATGACTCATTTCAGGGATTATTTTCAGTAAGAATTGTCCACAGCCATGGTCCTCTTCAATATTCAGATATGTTGTGTAAAAATCTTTAAGAAATTACATTTTTTTAAAAATCTTTGTGCATGATGCATGTGGTCTTTATTGTCTGTAAGAAAATTCCACTGATAATTAAAGTATTTTGCAACTTTTAAGAAAATACAGGAAAATGCAGAAGTTCATGACATCACAGTTGACATTTAAGGGGACAAATAAGAAAAACAATTTTTATGATCTTACTGCATGGAATTTGAACAATTTCAGAAAGGTTGAATTTTAATTTGTCACAATTTCATATTTAAAAGAAATATAGGGCCAGATCTATATTGAAATCATACCTTCTTTAGAGTATTTGCATAATAATGTGCTAATTAAGATTTATTCCAAATTCTTACAGTAATTTGGATTAAGATTCACACATTTATCGATGGCAGTCATTAATTCATTTTGATTATCTAAAAGACAATGCTTTTTATCATGTGATTTATCCGTTCAAGAATGCTGTCAATGTGGTCAATAAATGATCAGAGAGATCGAGATTCTCCTCAGTAATTAACTGATATTTCTTATTATAAAAACATGCAATCAAAGCATATTAGGTAAAAAAAATTTGACTGACACCTGAGCATCTGTATAGAGTAAAACACGCTTATAATGAAATGCCAGGGATGGACAATTTTGCTTTGTTTATAAGCATAATTCGTTATATCCAATATGTTTACAATATATTTTTAAGTCATAGGGAATGAAAATCACTTCGCTATAAGCGTCAATTCTTTATAAGCATGTTCCCTATAAGCAAGTTTTACTGTAGTTGTGATTTTACATAGCATGATAACGATGGGCAGGAGAATGTCAATTAATAAAACCCATAACTCTGTATCAGCTCAGGACACCAGTGGTCTGCTTCAAAATAAGCAATAATCAATATAAGTTATTTCAATTTAACTATTTAGTTGCAAAAATGATGAGAAAAAGAGACTAAGTTTTATTAACTGCTTTTCTATAGGAAAAATTCACTTATTGTGATGGTGAAAATGGCGGGTGGGTGGGCGGCTGCCAAAAGGGTGCATCATTTGTCTTGATAGGAACTTTTATATTTTGTAGATCAATTGTACATATATCAGAGATGTGCATACTACATTAATTTTGATTTCTGATTATCTTTGGGGGAAAAAAGCTGTTGAATTTAGTCTCTTTTTTTGCAAAATATTGCATATAGGGTACCCCATTTGTCAGGATAATTCCTACAGTTTTCAAGATAGGGAGTTCTTAATTTGCAGATCAATTAAACATATGTCAGAGATGTGCATATTAATTGGATTTTGATTTTTGTTTAGGAGAAAAATTCCAGCTTTGAACTTTTACAGCTTTCCACTTCCACTTGTTTAGTCTTGATTTCAAAATAAGTAGTTTTTCAATATAAGTGGAGTAGGTCGTATGTAAACATTGTGGATCTAGATCTGATTGAATATTAATATACTTAGATGAGTTGAAACTTGAAATCTGGAATAGGAGGTCACCTGTTCATTCTCCAGTAATGGCCTCTTAAAACAGGTGTGACTGTATATGATAATGAATTTCTGTCAAAGTAGCTGCACTACAATTTAAGAATTGAGAAATATTCCAAGCTCATACCGTATCTGGATAACCGCTATGTAATGCAGATTTGTAAAAGCCTGTGTTTGGCACAGAGGTTTCTTATGGCCTAAGTGTGGGGTATGACTCTGGATTAGTATCAGTTGGATAAGGGATCAAACATTGAGCTATTTTCACTTGACACAACTGTTTCTTCTGACCTTAGAGACTCTAAAAATGTCATTGGGATAAGGTCATGGTCACATGTCTAGATCATAAGTTTGGTGATGCATATTTTTCTAGAAGCTCACATTTTAATCATTAATCATAACCTTTAACAAATTGCAGGTGGTGCACATTTAATTAAAGGTCTTATGATGTATAGCAAGCTAGATTTCTTAAACTTAACAATTTTCCCATCTCTCTTCTGAATTTGCACTTTAGACAGCTGTAAGTGTTTTGACTTTTCTGTAGGAAAAGGTGTGCGTTTGTACTACATTGGAGGAGAGGTTTTTGCGGAATGCCTCAGTGAGAGTGCCGTGTTTGTACAGAGCCCCAACTGTAATCAGCGCTATGGATGGCACCCAGCAACAGTCTGTAAAATACCCCCAGGTAAGTCCCACAAACACCCAGCAACAGTCTATAAAATACCCCAGGGTAGGTCACACAAACACCCAGCAACAGTCTGTAAAATACCCCCAGATAAGTCCCACAAACAAGAAAATCCAACAGTAGAAAAGGATTTATTTGATGTACTCCAACTGACCCATCAAAATTGCCCCTGCCCATAATTTTTATACGCCCGTCTTAAGACGGGACGTATTATGTTATAGCCTTCATGTCCGTCTGTCTTTCTGTCTGTCCATCCGGTAGCTTTTTTGTGTCCGGCTCATAACTTTAATACTATTAGGCCTAGAATTATTTGTCAGCTGATACATCCTGGGAAGAAGGTGTGTCGCACATTAAAAGTAGGTCGCTCTGACCTTTAATTAAGATGCTATGGCCAAATATGGAAAAATCCTGTCCAGCTCATAACTAGAAAACTATTAGACCTAGAATCATCAACCTTGGCCAATTTATGCATCTTTGGTAAAAGGTGTGTCGCAACCTATTTCAAGGTCCCTGTGACCTTTAATTTAAGTGAAAGGATGAGTGCACTCAAGCTATGAGAGTTGGGTCCCGGTGTTTTGCGCAAAATAAAATTCCGAAGTTCATGAACTTTATGTTTTATAGGTAAAAAAAAAAAAGGTCTTTTAACTTTTGAATCACACAATCCCAAAAGATGTAAGAGGATTGTAGTATACTTATTAAAAATGTTAAATCAAGAAAATATTTTTTTTTTTCATTATATACTTTACAGCAATCTGTAACAAGTATGTTATTTAGAGAAATTCCACCTCTGGGCAGGGGTGTAATTATCAAGCACTGGTCAAGGAGAATTTTGATAACAGAAAATTGCATGTCAAATTAGAGAGAAATTAAAGAGTTTAGTGTGAGGAGATAACTGGTAGAGCATCTCTGATCAAGCAGGTGTTATCTATATCTCTTGGGAATTGGGCAAAGGAATCAGCCTCTTAATTGCTTGTGTTGTATTAGCTAGTCTTACTTTCAAGATAAATTTGGTGTAAAGCAATTAAAACTAATTTGATATTGTATAATATTATTTTAAAGTAAATTTGATTTTGTATAAACAGTATAATATAATTAAAAATAATTATATAATGTATAAAAAATTTTTGTTTTAATTTTTATATCTTTACAACAAATTGCAGAGTGTCACGTCCCACTAAGATGACAATTTTATAGTCTAAAGAACATAATTTGTTTTGATGTTTTATTAAGCTGTAGCATTATTAATCAATCAAAATATACAATAAACAAAGTTGTTAAGCTCTAACACAACCAGTTGAGAAATATATGATGTATTATTTGTTATAATTAATACCTACACCACAGGAGATGTATGTACATCAAACATTACAAGGAATGGAAAAATTATTGAAAGCTTTGTATCAAGGTTAAGATGATTTTCTTGCACTCTAAACTGTTTATGATAATTGAACAATATTTGACAGGCATATCATGCTGTGGCGTAGCACTTTATTTTTCTGTACTTTAGATTTAAAGTACTTTAAATGTTTTTTTCTTTTTTTTATGCCCCTGTATCGAAGATTCGGGGGAATATAGTTTTTGCCCTGTCCGTCCGTCTGTCTTGCTGTCTGTTTGTCCACTAAAACTTTAACCTTGCCCATAATGTTTGACTGGTTGGAGCTATGACTTTTATATTTCACATGTGTATTCCTTGTGACCTTTCTTTGAATACCATCATATTTGACCTTTTGGCCTCGACCTTGGAGTTTGACCTACTTTTGCAAAATTTTATGAGACTTTAACCTTGGCCATAACTTTTGAACAGTTGGTTTTTGGGCTTTCAAACTTCACATGTGTATTCCCTGTGACAAGACCTTCCTTTGGATACCAACTACTTTGACCTTTTGACATTGACCTAGGAGTTTGACCTACTTTTGAAAAACTTTAACATTGGCCATAACTTTTGAACGGTTGGTGCTAGGGCTTTCTTATTTTTAACATGTCTATTCCCTGTGACAACACCTTCCTTATACCATCCACCTTGACCCTTTTACCTTGACCTAGGAGTTTGACCTACTTTTGAGAAAACTTTAACCTTGGCCATAACTTTTGAATGGTTGGTGCTAGGGCTTTCATATTTCACATAAGTAATTCTTGTGACAAGACCTTCCTTTGGATACCAACCACTTTGACCCTTTGACTTTGACCTTGGACTTTGAAAAACTTTAACATTGGCCATAATTTTTAAACATTTGGTGCTATGGCTTTCATACTTCACATATGTAATCCTTGTGACAAGACGTTCCTTTGGATACCAACAACTTTGACCGTTTGACCTTGACCTTGGACTTTGACCTACTTTCGAAAAACTTTAACCTTGGCCATAATTTTTAAACATTTGGTGCTAGGGCTTTCATACTTCACTTGTGCATTCCTTGTGACAAGACTTTCCTTTGGATACCAACAATTTTGGCATTGACCTTGGAGTTTGGCCTACTTTTAAAAAACTTTAACCTTGGCTATAACGTGTGAACGTTTGGTTCTAGGGCTTTCACATTTCACGAACATGTGTATTACTTGTGACAAGACGTTATTTTGAGGCATTATTTGACCTTGACCCTGACGTTTTACTTACTTTCAAAAACTTTAGCCTTCACCATAACTTTTGAACCGTTGGTGTTAGGCCTTTCAAATTTCACAGGTAAATTCCTCGAGATAAGACCTTTCTTTGGGTACCAACATTTTTTATCTCTTGATCTGGAGTTGGACTTGCATTTGAGAAAGTTCAACCTTTGCTATAAGCTTCCATAGGGGGGCATCAGTGTTTCACAAACACATCTTGTTCTTTTTGTTTCACCAGGAAAATGCAGATGATGCTTGTTAGATGAAAGTTTATGCAGCAATAAATATTAAATCTTTCTAGCTGTCAATAAATTTTTAAGTCTGTGATTCAATGGCACTTTAGTTTAAACAAAGGCCTACCTACCTGCTGAAATGTTTGACTGTTAATTGAACAGACCGTTGAATATGACAAAACATGGTCAAAACATTGTTTCAATTCTAATTGGATGTTTGGGGGGGGGGGGGGTTGTTTTTTGTTTTTTTGTTTTTTGCTCTCTATAAATTTTATAATTAGGTAAAGAATTATAAAAGTGAACTGTATTTGGATAGCAATTGTAATCTACTTTCACTTGACAAGTGCCTGAGGTATACCCACATTTACATGTGTAACAATTATGTACAGTAAATGTTTTAGGTTACACACCTTAATCTTTACATTTACAATTTAGCAAAAATACTCAGTGAAGTAAAGTTTTCCAATGAAATTATTACAGTCATTCAGATTTGAAAAATTATTTTAAATATGTATTTAGGAAGTAACTATATCTATAGATCCACTGAATTCAATGAAAATGTAATATTTCACAACTTTGTATAGAAATACAGTCAGCATGAAGTATTGACAGGATAATAAATTCTAAGAATAAATGCAGCAATTGATTGTGGTTTTTAGATTTAAACAACTGACTAGACTCGGAAGGCAGGATTTTTCATGACTTTCTAAGGGTTTGGATACCAAATACACTCATCATGCTCATAATTAAAGAAAATAAAATCAAATCAGCTTGAAATTCCCCTGTTTTTGCTTTATTAATCCAAATGAAGTCTTACGTAAGAAATCTAGAAAGAAAAAAATCAGAAGATTTGATGCATCAAAATTCAGAATTTTATGGACCCTTTTTGAAAGTAAAAATGATCATGTGACACTGTGTCTCAGGTTATTCTTTTGTGAGCCTTTAAAGGTTATGAATTGTTATTTAAGGCTATTTGATATCAGGCTATTATTTAACAATGTTCTGTTGTAGGTTGTAACCTGAAGATATTTAATAACCAGGAGTTTGCTGCGTTGCTTGCCCAGTCTGTCAATCAAGGTTTTGAGTCTGTTTATCAACTGACCAGGATGTGTACTATCCGTATGAGTTTTGTGAAGGGCTGGGGAGCTGAGTACAGGTGAGATCATGTGATAAACTGTTTATTGTATTGTATTTTTAGTACATTAAGATTTGTTCCTGAATCAAATCTTTGCCCTGGGAACTAGTCTAGTCTAGGAGTGCAGTATTGACAAGACTCATTGGAGATATTAATTTTGCAAGAAAAATACAATTTGTGAACTTTTCATCAAGCTCAATGTACTCTAGTAGAAAAAAATGTTGCAGTTGTGGATTTTCAGTTCATTTCCACATTTAGTGATTTTAAAATTGACTTCATATTCATCTGTCAGAAAGAGAAATATTAGTTAAGTTAGATGAACAGGTTTGCCTATGAGCTTCTTGTTTTGTTAGCAAAAAGTATTTGCATTTGATAAGGGTCTCAATAATGTACATTAATTATATACCCAACTGTTTGTCACTCAGTTTTACTGTTGAATTTATGCAATCACGTGACTGTGTGATCCAACCTTCCGGATCACCACACTGTGGTTTTTTGAATCCATATCACCCCTCTCTGACACTGATGACGTAGTACACAGATAAATGACGTTTTTCTTCTCGTGCATCAAAAAGTTCCTTGACAAAATGGTTTTTTTAATAGATAAAAGTTATGTAATTGATCCAAAAATTTGCTTTTTATTATATTTTGCTAGTTGTAAAGGGGTATATAATAAATTTATCATTATAACATTAACTTGATCCGAAGAGCCGTATCACATCTCGTTGACAGGCGCAGATCATCAGATCAAACTCGACGCTTCGCATCTCGTTTGATCTGATAATCCGCACCTGTCAACTTGACGTGATACGGCTCTTCGGTTCAAGTTATTGTTATAATAATATATATGTATAACTACATATCTTCAAGTGAAACAAAAATTTTGCTAAGTTTTATTTTTATGGAATTTACTGGATAAAATAAGTCCTAATAATCCTATTTCTGTTTCCTGTCACCTGTAAGAAGTTCTTATAACTCATTGTTTACAGGAGACAGACCGTTACCAGTACACCATGCTGGATTGAAATTCACCTGAATGGTCCTCTACAGTGGTTGGACAGAGTTCTGGTCCAGATGGGCTCCCCAGGGTTACCCTGCTCCAGTATGTCTTAAGGTGGTCCGTACAGGACCAGGGAAAGGGTCAAGCCTATGGTAGTTTCGTTAAGCTGCCTATGTTGCACAACTTTCTCTTTTGGATTCAGAGCCTGACTTTTTTCACTCAATAATTTCCCAGAAAGAGGAAAAATGAGTTAATCTTATCAACACAAAGTTCTGTTCAATCAGATATAAATCCTGTCAAAACATGCAGTTAATTGATAAATTAATGTACAAGTATATTCAAAAGGTTGTATCACTTTTTTAACAATTATTGCTACAGTTCAGTGAATTTGAACCTATCCCTTTTTTCGTAGTTGGTAAAATTGCTAGGATAAATGCAATGTTCTCTGCTGCCAGATGATATGTTCATTGTATTCAAAAGCATTATACCATTGTATAATCCAGTATCATTGTAAACAAACTATGAGAAATCCCCAAGAATATCCACTGAACTGGACAGAGAGTTTTACAGGATTGAGAGATAAGTGTGTTTGTCCTTAGTCAAGTGGAGGCTATTTCTCTCTGTTGATTGTCCTTAGTCAAGTGGAGGCTATTTCTCTCTGTTGATTGCCATTTAGATGTCAGGGTAAGCATGCCTGGACTCCCATATTAGAACAATGTATGACATTTGTACATGTAGTAAAATTAAGAAATTGACTCACATGTTAATAATAGTTTGTTGTATTTTTATTGATAATAGATACATATTTAGTCTCATACTTTTATGTCTACCAAAAAAAAAGGAATATTCACTTTATTTTGTGTGAAGTGGACACCTTGAACTTGAGGGTCCATGTCACTGTATCTAAAAATGTGTTTTGATAGAAAAGTGAAATTATACATGAAATACACTGTAGTATTATATGTAGACATTTGATGCTAATTTGTCACAACTGTAGTTGTTTCATTAACATGAATTGTTAACTGAAGAAGGAAAAAGATGGATTTTTTCTGTTATGTTGCCCTATGATGACATTTTCATACCGTGCAGTTCTTGTTAAACTGTACAATTACGTCTCTTTTTACTGGTGCAGATCTAAATGTGGTATTGTTGCCTTTTGTAGTTTTTGTGCGGTGATGCTTTAAAGGTGGTCTAAGCCAGGTGGTCTAAGCCAGATAATATATAGTATTGTCTTTCATGTTCTTTCAACTTAATACAGTAAGTTGTTACTGTAGAATGATTATGTTTCCTTTTTTTGCATCAAGAATGAAGTTTGAAAAGTGAAGATGGTTGTACAGTAAAACTCTTTTTGTTTATTATGAATTAGAGTAAGACATATTGCATAACAATTCAAAGGAATTGACACTTGAGTTCTTAATGGGGATTTTTTTTTCAACTATAAAAGGTTTTTGAAGAAAAATTATTGTATTACTTTATAGATTTTATTTGAATCTGAGTACATTATTTACGGCATGTTTCTTGATATAGTCATTGATTTTGGATGTTCACTAAAACCCATCACAAATGAATGCTTTTGTATGATTTATCAATCAAGATTATATATGTTAAAAAAAAAAGTGTAGAAAGTTACCGTACATGTGCATATAATGACGTATTCAAAATTTAGTGCAATCACGGAGTATTCTGTGGTTGCTGCAATCATGAATTAGTACTATACATGTCTGCGCCTTGCATTGTATTCAAGAATGATTTATTAACGGTATTTATGAATAAGCGCATTGTTGTCTGTGCCAAAGCCACTAAAATATGAAGCCTGCCTTTTATAAATACACGCATAGTATTGCAGATTTTTGTCTATTTCTTTCATGGATAACGTATCTGAAATCAGATTTGCGATAAAACACAAAGGACAATCCAAGTTTCAATAAATATTTCAAAACCTGTCATTAAAATTCAAGTTTTTCTAGGAATTGGAATAATGTCTTGAATAGTCATTTTCAATGTACTGTCAACCAGATCACAACTACAATTCAATTTAAGCATTATGAGTGAATTATATTTCTCTAGTATTTCCCATTCTATTTTTATATACATTGGAATTGTACAAACCATTAGTTATGAAGATCAACAGAAAGGTAAAAATGAACTTAGGCTTTTAAAATTTATTTTGTCCTTGAAAACTTGCAAAAATTTGGGGGGGGGGGGATAATTATTGGTTATGAAGTTGCACATACATCTAAATTTGTACCAAGTTTATTTTGAAATAGCATTCAGGAAAGTTGTCTTTGCTATGTTAAAATTTTGTTAATACAAAAAAATCACTCTACATGTAGTTCAAACAGAAAAGAGTTTTTTTGTATTATGTAATTTGAATGAATGGTGGTGATCGAAGTGTAATTTTTTGTAATCTCACACTTAACAAAGAAATATGAATGTATAAGAATTTAAAATACTGTGCATAATGTAAAAATTTTAATAGAGGTCTTTTTTCCCCTATAATTGATAAACATTTGATATCATTAGACTGTTTATCACCCCATATTTTGAATCATTTCACTTAGTTAAGCTCGATTAGAAATTAAAGAGGCATTGTAGATATCATTATTTCACAAACTGCCATGTGCACCATTGTTTGTCAAGTAGTTTAGAACTGATAAAGTAACTGTCTGATCCGCCTGGCTTATGTTTAATGTGTGAAGAAGCTTAATTTGTGATATCATTTTCCCATACTCCCTCTTCCCTTTGTTTGGTATCGTGCATATATTTGCTACATGTATATTTCATGTTTTATGTTATTATCGTAGCTGAATTAAAGGCTGATGTTAAAGAAAGTTTTCCAATTATTTATTTATTTATTTATTTTATTTATTCATTTATTTTTATTTATTTTTTTTTTTTTTTTTTTTTTTTTTTGGACAGTAGTTTTTTTTTTTTAGTAATTTTTGACTGAAGAAATAAGAGAATTGGAAAAATAGTAGTCAAAAATTGGATATTCATTTATGAAATATAAGATAAAGAACAGTAATCAAGCTCAAAAGTTTATTGAAACAATACAGATTTGGAGCAGAGCAAACACAGACCTTTGAAAACATCAGAAGAGGGATCAGGTGCCATGGAGGAGTAAGCATCCCTGTTGGCAGTTAACACCCGCCATGTGCTCTTTGTCATGATTGGACAGATGGAAAAATCCATAGACTATTCAGTGTGAAAATAGTGGCCTAACAATTTGTATGAAAAAAGTTGTCAACATTTGACTTAATGATAGATTTTATTTCCTGACAAGGTCATCGTAATGACTGTAGAATTTTTGAAATGTTGACTTTAAAGGAAGCTGTTGATCTTTTTGTTTCATCAACTTATTTGTCAATTGAATAGCTTGCTTCGTTTAAAAAAAATGTTTGTACTTAGAGCATGCTCTTGCATTTTGAATCAACTGGGAGACATACACTCCATATGCAGATGATAATGGTATACTGCTACATCAAAATCTTAACCGCCATGTGTTATGGAAGATAATTCCAAATCAGCCTGTCGGTTCCTGAAGCTTGAATTTGTCAACAAAGGAGCAGAGGCTATAAACATGAGTACCATTCTAAATGTTAAAAATGTTCAGTCTTGCATTACACCATAATTTAAATACAGTTGAACTTTGGTATTTTGAACACGGATATCTCGAATACTATGGATATGTCGTATCGATATTTAAGTCCCATCTACTTATTCTTAAAGTATTTTACCCTGGCTATCTCGAAATCTTGGATATCTCGAAGTTTTTCCTTGGCCCCATCGAGTTTGAGATAATGAGGTTTGACTGTAAATTCCCTAAATTAACTGTTGCATCTAAATATAACTATAAACAAAATCTACAGTGCCTAGATAATGACCCTTTAAAACAGTTTTTCAAAGTGCTTTTGTTCTTCCTCTTTTTAGCTCAGCTGAGCTGAAGGCTCAAATGAGCTTTTCTGATCGAAATTTGTCCGTTGTCTGTCGTCGTTGTCGTTTTGTTTGTATGTTTAACGTCCCTCTCGAGAATTTTTCACTCACATGGAGACGCCACCACTTGCCGGTGGAGAGCTGCAAATTTTGTCCTATACTCGGCACTTACGGCCATTGAGCAATGAGGGATCTTTTTCGTGCCAGCATCTACTGCGACACGGGACCTCGGTTTATACGGTCTCATCCGAAGGACAGGTCTCCACGTCCGACAGTGGGATTCGAACCCGCGACGTAAGGATCAACTCCTTACGCCGCGACTCTAGAGCAGACGCTCTAACCACTGCGCCACGCGGGCGACCGTCGTTGTCGTAAACTTTTCATATTTTCATTTTCTTCTCAAGAGCCACTGGCAAATTTCAACCAAACTTGTCTCAAAGTATCCTTGGGTACAGGGCATTCAAGTTTTTAGCTCACCTCAACGAAGTTGGGGGAGCTTATGTAATGGCGTCGGCGTCCCAGGTTAAAGTTTTTGAAGCAAATTTCTTTTCTTTTGGGGGAGTATGGCTCTAGAGTTATTGACTTCTCTTTGGGGAAGGCTTACTCTACAGCAAGACTTTCTGTGGAAGTCTTAGTATGAGGGAGAGGGGGTTAGCTTAACAACACCGGTACACACGCGTTAAAGTTTGCCTTAGTAGCACGTGCACTTGTTTCTTATACGGGGCACCCCCTACTTATTTTTACCACAAGGTACATAACTCAATTTCAGGCACCCCGCTTCAGCCTCGTCTTTTGTTAATATATTAATCGTTAACCTACTTTAAAATGCCATCGTTCGCTTTGATAGACTTTTTTCTTGTCAAATAAATCATTTCAGACGTCCTCTTTATCGTAAACCACTCATTTATTCCTCGAAAATTACCTTGATACATAACAAGACTTTAGATGGGATACAAAACTTCCGGTTGGGGTTATAAATGTAGGATAAAACCCGCGACCTCGGTCATAACATCTTTCGAATATTCCAATCTATCCACGTCTTTGAGTAAAAATTAGGTTGACTCTTGGGTGACTAATTTTCAATTGCTAATAAGAAAAGGTTATAGACATAGATCAGTGCTCTATTTGTAGGTTTGAAAAACATGACATAATAAGGCTAAGACTTTTTCATGAATTATAATTCATATGATACATATACTGTATACAGGGTTATTTTCGCCCCGTATTATATTCGCCCTTTCACCCATGCAAACAATTTTGCCCCGTTTTAAATTCGCCCATTCATAGTTTTGTTTAAGAAATTATACTGTATTCTTTGAATTCGCCCCGTTTTAAATTTGCCCAAATGAGGGCAGGGCGAAAGGGGCGAAATTAAAACGGGGGCGAAAATTTCCCTGTATACAGTAATTCATAATGATAGGCAAGTCTTATAATGTACCGGCGCAGGTGTGTAGACGAATAATGACCCCTGTAGAATAATGACCGGGTGTCATTTTTACGACGTCGAAAAATGACTCCCGGTCATTAATCGACATCGAAAAATGACCCCCGATCATTATTCGACGTTGAAACATGACCCCCCGTCATTTTTCGACGTTGAAAATGACCCTTTTGCCTCTAGAAATAGTGGCATCACCCTTAAAATCTGTATACTCAACATGAAGAAAAATGACCCCCTTAGAATAATGACCCCTGGTAGATTTTATTAGGAATATATTTTTTGGATTAAAAAAATTAAGAATTAATAAATCAAGAGGGTCGTGGATCAAAATGCTCACCTGAGGTAAATTGAAGATATAGCGATGATCTGTTGTTCTCATTAAATCTTTCAAATGTCTTTTATGATTAATTGACAACTTAAATCGACATCAATGTACACTATGTGGAAATGCTTTCATTCTGATTTGACTTGTGTATCATTGTTTTTTTTAAATCTTTTTTTATTTTCGCCTATACTATCCAGAGAGAGAGAGAGAGAGAGAAAATTGTTTACAATGTCTATCTACCGGTTAATTAAGTTGTGTCGAATGCCTTTTTTTAAGCCCATGATTTAAATAGTGTACATACATGTAACTTTCGGACACATAGTAAAAGTGCCTTACAATTTAAATAAGAAGAACTACTTGATGTTTTTAGAGACTTCTAAAGTCAACCCGTTTTATAATTGGCCATAAACGTCTATAATCAGTAAAATATCGAAATATGGAAACAAATGATAAAAAGGATCAAGACTAGAAAGTATGCTATTGCAAGCAATAGTATGAGGGGCCGTTTTGGTATTTACCACCATTCAGTGATATCACCCATTCGAATACGTGATACCACCTATTCAGTTGGTGATATCACCTATTCGAATACGTGATATCATCCAATCAGCTTTTGAATTGGTGATATCCCCTATTTGAATAGGTGATATTACCTATTTAAATTAAGCATGAAATAACAACTGCTGCCAAGACTATAGAGCATACATTTACTCTATACAGGACGTAAAAAGTTCAGTCTCTTTTCACACAGATGATTATAACAGAGAGAACCTATCAATAAATATAGCAAAACTAACTGCAAATGAAATTTATATAACGTCACAGGGATTGAAATCAAATAGTGTCTTAAATGTCTTGGACCATAACAAGGACATAAGGGGATAAGGACAGCCCGAATTTGCTTAGGGTCAATAGAAATTTAGTTTTTTTTTTTATATGCAAACCAGGTTGTTTTATGATCATTTTTGTACACATATACATTGTAACTTAAAAACAGTGCCTCCCCCCTTCTCCTCTTTATGCCTAAAAATGATCTTACAGAAAATCTACTGTTTATAATCAATGCAATGACGATATAGACGTAGAGGTTACGGCTCAAATTAAGAAGAGAAAGTCCATAGAAACATTATTATCTTTTTTTTAAGTTTGCACATATTGCGTGTACGTCTTTTTTTTTTAAATAAAACATCGTTCATATACTATAAGCATGCATCTCATTTCAAAATTAGATATCAGACATTTTATGCCAACATTTTCATTTAAAACTTGAAGAATTATCAAAAATTGTAAATTGGTATTGAGAGAATAAATACAGCATTTTCCCCTTCAAAAAAAAAAAACAACTTAAAATTTGAATATATTTGTCGATGTTGTTATATTTATGAGACTTCATCCAAAGAGTATATGAACTTCAGGATTATTTTTTTCATTACTACTGAATTCGATGTAAAAATGTCATGAATACCTTAAATTTAAATATTTTAATTAAATCTTATTTGAATATGAAAAAAAGCGAAAATAACTGCAACAAAAATATTTTTGCCAGGGGATGATTCATTAATTTCAAACTGAATAGCGAACAGAGGCGGAGAACCAATACCTTTCCCGACCGATCAAAATACGAGAGAAATACTTCTTGTTACACTAGTAAAATTCCTATCTACATCCTTTAATAAATTCTAAATTTCTATCTCTTTGTAATAAAATGGTGAGAGAAACGAATCTAACAAATTGAGGGGCCCGTTCTAAGGAACTTACGACTTAAACCAAAAACTTAGGTTAATTGTAAAGTCTTGCAAATGAAATATGGAGATAACGAACATGCAGTATTCAAACTTAAAGTACGTCCATTAAAACAATAAAAATCGGGAGCAGAGCAAACACATCTCCAAACGAAACCTCCAAAAACATCAGAGATGGGATCAGGTGCCATGGAGGAGTGAGCATCCCCTACCGACCGGTTACACCTGCCGTGTGCACCTTGTCATGATCGGGAAATAACGGATAAATCCGTCGACAATTCATTTCTAAATAATGGCCTAACAATTAGTATGAAAAACATCAGTCAGCATATGACTTAATGATAGATTGTATTTGCTGACAAGGTCATTGTATCGACCATAGAACTTACGAAATGATGACTTTAAACGAGACTGTTGATATTCTTGTTTCATCAACTTGTTTGTCAATAACTTACCTCGTTTTAGAAATTGTTCATACGCAGAGCATGCTCTTGCGTATCGAATCAACTGAGAGATATAAACCCCGTATGCAGGTGATGAAGGTATGTTGCTGCATAAGTAAGGGAAGTTGATGATTGAAAAGTTAGTCATCAGGTTTATCATAAAGCTTTGTTGCTTAGATTACCATTGACGTGTTTTTCTAGTAAAATATCCAAATATGAAAAAGATGTGTCAGACTATGTGGCATCTTTTATTTCAAGCTCACTGGGATAGATATCGTGTCGACATATACATGTAAATGGAAATAACTATTGTTAATTGGTAATACGTTGTAGATATATCTAAATGTCGAGTTGAAGGCCACAGCAAGATATTTCCTTTTCTCATGTATAAGATTTTGTATAAATTCTATTTCATATGAATACAAAAATACGTCTGCTAACAATGGGGCGCAATTGGTATACAATTGGAATTACAACAGATTGTTGGAAGACCTGGTCTCCAAAAACCACATAGATATTGTCAATCAGAAACTCAAGCATCTTTTTAATATCAACTTCAGAGTACTAATGTGTACAATCAGAATGTTTTTTAACAAAATAATTTTCCAAATGACCAATGACAAGGTAAGTAAATTTACGAGTTCCATTTTTATTGAAAAAGCAGCTGCCAATGATGTCAAAAAGCCTGAACTTTAATATATCATGGGGAATGGTTGTATACAGAGTTGAACAGTCGTAAGTTTTTATGTTATTGATTTTGGTAAAACTTTGTGATTTCAAATTTTTCGAAAGTTCCTTGGAATTTTTAAGTATCTACATCTGATTTGCACCACTTATCTAATATATTGTTATATTGTTTCACAGTACTTATGAAGTTTCTCCTTCACTGCTGTCAATATTTTAGTCAGGAGTAAAGAAAGAGGCTTGGTAGAACATGTACTGGAACCTGTAAAAATTGTTTGCATAAAAATATCATTCATTTTTTTTTTTTTTTTTTTTTTTTTTTGATTTTTTTTAAAAGAGTAAAATTATTTTCAAATATGTATGTATAATTGAAAGTTAGTCGAAAACATATTTTGGTCTTATTCGTACTTCCTTGTGTAAAACGGGGCCCAGGTTCAGAAATTGTTAATTGATCAACAGATTAGATTAAAACACTGTTTTCTTTACTCTTTGGGAGTGCCTTCATACCTTTTGGGATTTCACAGTCAAGCTGACAATTGAACTACAAATAACATCTCGCCGTCCAGCTTTGCTTATGAAGGAGCTATAACTATTTGAAGAAAATCATATAACCGATTTTCTTTTCCACAACTCGATAGATAATAGCAATGGATGGTGTTGCTTTCGTGTCACAATGTCCCATTTTACCGGGACAGTCCTTTAACTATTATACCTTTAAGCCTCGCTTCAGCGGTACTTACTGGTATCACTCCCACATGGGCAACCAGAGAGACATGGGATTATACGGAGCATTTATTGTACTGAAAACAGAGAATGAAATACTTATACCCCAACAATACATCATTCAATTGATGTAATGGAACCATCTTTATGGCCCGATCACTTTACTAAAAGCCAATCTGATCGACAGTGCATCCACCTACATTTTGATAAATGGAAGAAGAGAATTCCAGGACAACAAGGCACCATTGGACACGTTTCTTGTGGACCAATTCGAAGAAGAACACATCTTTCGAATAATAGGAGTAGATTCAAAGGACGTTCTACTGTTCTCTGTACCCGGACTGCGGTTAATCGTCAAAGAAACCGATGAAATCATCATATATCCTGCTGAGAGATACGACTTCGAACTTGAACTTCATCATGCGAATGAGGGGTTTACAACATGACTAAGTATTCATATTTTGGAAAATAAATCTCTAGAGAGACGAAAAGATTAAGTCGGTTTGGGATTTATAAACATAACAAATATGCATAATCTTCCGTCCCACTAAATGAAAGTTCCGAAGTTTTTCTTAACTGTTCATTCAAAAACTTTACCGAATGAACCAAACGTCTCATGTTTACCTGTATCAGAACTTAGTTGTACATACACTATTCTTGAAGACTTGGACTTTAAAGTGTAACATGTCCCTTGTTCTTGCGAACTATGAACTCTTTTTCTAAATTTTGATTTCCCAGGAAGGACAGAATATATTTCTATAAATGATCGAAAGTTTATGTGGCCCACTGATTCAGCTGTCGTGTGAACAGGGCATAAACATATGATAGTAATGCCCTGTTCACACGAAGAGTTTAACTCTTTTTTTAAAATTGAATATAAATCTAACATTTTGTTCTCTTTTGTTTCAATTGCTTATATGAGTTTTTCTCTGTTGATAGGGTTGAAGTAGCCCTTTTTATTACTATGGTGATTACCGTCACTGTATCTCAGTCGATAGTGCGCTCGGTTTGTGATCGGAAGGTCGTGTGTTCGAATCACGGCCGCGACTGACCTATAAGTCTATAAAATATAGGTAGCAACTGTTCCTTCGCCAAGCGCTCAGCACTTTGAAGTGAAAGTTGGGTCCTTCGGATGAGACCTTAAAAACCGAGGCCCCGTGTCACGGTGGGCGTTCGCACGATAAATAACCCTTACTGCTTAATGACCCTAGATGCCGAGTAAAGGTCTAAATTTGAAGCCCTTCACCGTTATATGGTGAGGTCTTTATATGGGTGAAAAATTCTCGAACAGGACGAAAAAAAACATACAATCAATCAATCAATCTTCTAAGATGAATTTGATCTCGTGACCAACCCATATTTATAATCCGATAGATGTTTATAAAAATGATACCTTATTTCTTAAATATACGAAAAATATTCAAACATATAAAACACAGAGAACGTAAGCACTTTCATTTCTCTTCTACATGATGCTCTACAATGTACTCATGGTGAAGTTTATTGTGACGTCATAATAACTTAACGTTAACAAGTCTCCGATTGACCTCATATTTTTCCCGTACTTTTGGCAAAATAATACATTAATGTAACTCAGTAAAATACTCTACATGTGTATAATACAATTCTCTTACATTAAACTATTTAATTTAGGGTTCAAAGTCCTTCTAAAATGTTTTTATCTCGTCTTTCTATTGCATTAGAGTTGTACAATTTATAAAATGGAAAGACAGTAAAAGTTTTATTTCCGCATGTCTAGGTGTTCACTGACTTTAAGTTTTGCGGTATTTCGGCACGTTAATTTGTTGTTTATGGACTTGGATCCTTTCCCGCAAGGTACCTCCCGTCTCTCCGATATATAATTCACCGCAACCAGAACATGTTATAACGTATATGACGTTTCTAGTTCGACATGGCACGTTATTATTAACTGTAAACTGTTTTCCGCTAAAATTAAAATGCTGTCCTTGTTGTATGTATGGACAGGTACTACAGTGCGGATCCTGGAATTTGGTCATGACGATGATTTTCCATATGATCTAGGGTTCTAAATTGGTTTGAATTGAATACGTTTGTTCTGGAACTTTGGTTTACTACCTAAACTTTTATGCCCTCGTATCGAAGATTCGGGGGTATATAGTTTTTGCCCTGTCCGTCTGTCTGTCTGTCTGTCTGTCTGTCTGTCTGTCCGCAAAAACTTTAACCGTGCCCATAACTTTTGATTGGTTGGAGCTATGGCTTTCATATTTCACAGGTGTATTCTTGACAAGACCTTTCTTTGGGTACCATCATATTTGACTTTTTGACCTTGATCTTGGAGTTTGATCCAGTTTCGCAAAATTTTACCAAACTTTAACCTTGGCCATAACTTTAACGGTTGAGGCTAGTGCTTTCATACTTCACATGTAATCCTTGTGACAAGACCTCCCCTAGGATACCAACAACTTTGACCTTTTGACCTTGACCTAGGAGTTTGACCTACTTTTGAAAAACTTAAACCTTGGCCATAACATTTGAACGGTTGGTGCTAGGACTTTCATACTTCACTTATGTCATCCTTGTGACAAGACCTTTCTTTGGATACCAAAACCTTTGACCCTTTGACCTTGACCTTGAAGTTTGACATACTTCTGGAAAACTTTAACCTTGGCCATAACTTTTGAACGGTTGGTGCAAGGGCTTTCGTATTTCACATATGTAATCCTTTTGACAAGACCTTTCTTTGGATACCACAAATTTTGACCCTTTGACTTTGACCTTGAAGTTTGACCTACTTCTGGAAAACTTAAACATTGGGCCATAACTTTTGAACGGTTAGTGCTAGGGCTTTCATACTTCACATATGTATTCCATGTGACAAGACCTTCTTTTGGATAACAACAACTTTGACCTTGATCTTAGAGTTTGACCTACTTTTGAAAAACTTTAACCTTAGCCATAATATTTGAACGGTTAGTGTTAGGGCTTTCAAACTTCACATATGTATTCCTTGTAACAAGACCTTCTTTTGGATACCAACAACTTTGACCCTTTGACCTTGATCTTAGAGTTTTACCTACTTCTGAAAAACTTTGACCTTGGACAGAACCTTTGAACAGTTGGTGCTTAGGCTTTCATATTTAATTATCTATTCCTTGTGACAAGACCTTCTTTTGGATACCAACAATTGTAATCCACTGACCTGGGATTTAGACCTACTTTTGAAAAACTTTAACCTTGGTCATAACTTTTGAACAAATGCTGCTGCGGCTTTCATATTTTACCTGTGTATTGGGAGAAGGCCTTTCCTTGTGCACCAATAATTTTGACCATTTGACCTTGACTTTGATGTTTGATATACTTTTGAAAAAAAACTTTTTCATATCTATTCAATGGTTGCTGCTAGGGCTTTCATATTTCACAGGTATATTCTTCGGGATATGACCCTACTTTGGGTACCAACATATTTGATTTGCCTTTGAGAAAGTTTAACCTTTGATATATGTTGCCATACGGGGACATTAGTGTTTCATAAACACATCTTGTTCTGTATGTAGTTGTATTTCCTCAAATTTGTCGCCAAGGGTAAAGTGTTACATGTATCATTCCTTGGTGGGTCGTAGGCGGAATTGCGTTAGTTTATATATATATATATATATATATATATATATATATATATATATATATATATATATATATATATATATATAATTAATCGTCAATTTGTAGATAAGAAAATATTGGGAGATTGGTGGAATGAATTATTTAAAACACACACACACACGCAAACACACATTTCTGTAGCCCCTTTCCCAAAAAAAAAAATCTTAAGTTCTTGCGGAAGATTTTACCTAAAGAATCCCTTAAGGAGGTTGGATCCTGTTATCAAAAGTATTGAGAATTTTTTATCAAGTATATTTTTAGAATCTACACACATAGCTTAATTAAAAATCAAAACAAAAAAACGGGGGTTAATGCGCTTCTTTTGGCGCTTCGGAGCATTTATTATGACTTTTTTTGCACTGTAATTACGTCTAACAAATTAAGTTTTAAAGTTTTTCCTCCAATATTTCTCTATTCAAATAAATCATGGGAACAAATTTGTGACAACAAAAAGGTTTCAAATTACTTCGTATGGTCAATTATTTGACCTTTCTGCACTCAAAAAATGTCATTTTTCTGGCATTAAAAATTTAACAAGCAAAAAAAATCATTTGAAAGTAGTGACATTTTACTGAATTTAAGGGGAGTGGTTAAAAGTATCTTATATATTCAGAAAGAAAATTACAAGTAGGGGTCTGTTAATTTGTAGATATCACTAAAATGGTGTTAATTTTAAGCTTAAATTGGGGGTATTTTTTCTGAATTTACACAATATATTTGCTTTATTTGTCAAATATCATGATAGAATTCATGACAGTTAATTTAATATCTTATTTAGGACCAGCATAAAACAATTCACGGCAAAAAATAACCCTGTGTAAGCTGCATGGAAAAATAGGTATTCAAAGTTAACAATATCTTTAATACTTCCAAAGAGATAGAATGATCATTTTCTTCTAAAAAAAAAAAGAAAAGAAAAAAAAGAAAAACCTTCCGCCACACAATTTAGTTCCTCGCTTAATGCTTTTGGTGTGGAATTTAATCATGGGGCTTTAACTGAATATATTTTAATTGACATTGTAGAATCCAAATTTATTGTAAGAACTAAAACATTACGCAGATTCTTTTTAAATATAGATCAAGACAAAAATCTGCTCCAAAGCTCAGGAGTGAACCTCTTTAACACAAATCTTTTTAGAGCTTTTCACGAATGCATTCGTAGCTGACTGAACTTAAGATTTTACTAACGACAAACTTCTTACCAAAAAAACGATCTAAGTGTGCTTTATAATCCATAAAAAAAGTAGATGAAAATAAAAATGAAGCAAAGTTTTCAACACTTGTAAGTGAAGCAAACATTATGGACAACAAAATTCGACTGCAATCGATAGTGAAGCAAGGAAGTTTGAAATCTGACGTCAGAATCACAAGTCTGACGTAAAAGTAGGTCATACGAAATTTTCAATGCAAGTTAATATCGTTAATATTTTGTATAATACATTTCATTTTGCTTTTCGACAGTATTAAGGTAAGATATAAAATGCTATAAATTTTAGGTTTTGTTAAAAAAGAAGTACAATTATGTTTATCATTGTTTTATTGTTTTATCAAATTTTAGACGCAAGAATCTTGTTAGAATTTATGGGAAAAGTAATATAATCGTAAAATTTCTCTTAAGATGGAAATTTCTCGTAAGATTTTTTATGAAAAGGTCTTAAGATTTTTTAATTCAACTGAAAATTTGGTGAAAGTTTTTCAACCTCTAAGCATGCCATTAAATCATTTAAAGACATTTCAATCTTTTCATTCAAATAAATCTTTTCTTTTGATTAAATTAGTAAAGAATAGACAAATACTAAAAGTGAATATCTATTATAACGAGCTGAGAAGAAAATTTAATCAAGTGTAAAATAAAGTGCAGTTTTATCATCTGATTAAACAATGTTGACAGCTCAGAGTCACCCATGCAACACTTCGGATCATGTTAAAAATACACATGATTTATACGTATTCCGAGAGAGGGCACTTAAAGAACCTTACCAACAATACAATACAACCGAAAGTACAAAAGATATAAAGGCCAGCAGGTAGATTTTACAAAAAGCATTAAAAAAATAACCAAGAACATGAGCAATTAAAGCTATCAATACCTTGAAAACCACCCGCCCATTTTTACAAGTCAAAAGAAAGGATTAAAAAAGGTAAAAACAAGAAAAAATCCTAGCAGTACATTAAAATCTAAAAGATAAATCAGCAAAAACAATATGACAACGGGGTTTGCTTTTTGGAAAGAAAATCTACATCATCTGAACTGCAAGGAATGCAATATTAGCTTCATTAACAACTTCGCGCCTGATTGACTTTTAAATTGTCGTAGGAGAGGGGAATTCCACTGTTACGAAATAATTTTTCTAAGAAATGAAACCTTCTGACACACCTTCTGAAACTTGAATTCCTTTCGGAGTTAGATCAGTATTGGTAGGGAAAAAAAGTTCTCTTTCTCAGTTCGTATTTGAAAACTACTGGTCTATTCCCAAAATGGTATGTACAATCTTTATCAATTTCAATACCATGTTATAAATAATTCTGTACAGGTTTTACTTCAAAGATTCCTTCATCAGTACCGAATTATTTAACTTTTATTTATTTAAACATTTTATGCACATCGTATTTATGCATACATTCTACATGTACATATTTTATTTTAGCTTTTTTTGTTAGTTTCTGCTTTTTATGTGTGTGGGTTTTTTTAATTATTTCATCCATTAATTTTTATTTCTAATTTTTTATTATTATTTGTTGGTTGGGGTTTTTTTTTGGGGGGGGGGGTTACAAGAAAATAGTATATAATAGTTTAATTGATTAAATCTAACTATAAATATAAGCTCAACATGAACATGATGAAGTAGGACATTAAGGAGAGATACAAATGCCCAACCTTCCTCTGGTTCTTGGTTACATCAAATCATTAAATATGATGCCTACAACTTAATTCATTAACATGTAATTGCATGTATGAATAAATAAAGACACCCCCATTTATTAGGGTCTCCTTTTACAATATAAAATTTAAGATTGTCGTAAGAAAAGTATATGCCTACAATTATCTTATCGATAAAATCACCATATTATGCAAGAAATTTAAAAACCACAACAGGAATGTTAATCGGTTTTGTTTCCAATAATAGTTTTTCACATAATCGAAACAAGATTCGTGGAAAAGTTTAAATTCAAAATTTAAAACCGTTCATGTGTAATGAAGGTCCTAAACGCTACAAAATGTTTTCTGAACAGACAAGAAACCAGCGCCGCATGTTTAAAAATGTAATATACAGTATGCAAATTATAAAGAAAGCTCATGGCAGATGCATGAAAAAAAAACAAATATTGTTTTCAACAAGCTGCAATTACTACCCAAAAATGGACCCAATATTAAAAACCCAGAATTCATTTCTGTCCATTTAATTTTCTATCTTATTTTTTCCTTTCAGTGTCTATTCTTCTCCCTGTGTCTCATTCTGGTGGTATCTTACCAAGTAGAAGGATTTGTCTGTCCAATTGATACTCACTGTATGACGTCACTAATAGTCAAAAGTGCATTCACAATGATTGATCCTACTGTAGGGCCTGTTTATGTACAAAACAGAACAATCTATCCGATAAAAACTGAATATCTCGGGAATGCTTTGAATTTGACGAACGTTATAACCGCAGATGGATGGAACACAACAAGAAATCTAATTACAGTTAATGGAACCATGCCAGGACCTCCGATCTTCCTGTATCAGAATCAGACAATCACCATCATAGTAAAAAATAATCTGATAAACGAACCTGTTACGATTCACTGGCACGGAATAGATCAGCTAGGCTGGCCAGCAATGGATGGTGTTGCTTTCGTGTCACAATGTCCCATTTTACCGGGACAGTCCTTTAACTATACCTTTAAGCCTCGCTTTAGCGGTACTTACTGGTATCACTCCCACATGGGCAACCAGAGAGACATGGGATTATACGGAGCATTTATTGTACTGAAAAGAGAGAATGAAATACCCATACCCCAACAATACATCATTCAGCTCATGGAATGGAATCATTTATACAATCCTATTACTTTGCTCAAAGCAGAACATATCGATACAACAGCCAATTCCATACTTATAAATGGAAGAGGGGAATTCGAGGACAACATGGCACCATTGGAAACGTTTAAGGTGGACAAAAAGGACAAACATCTTTTTCGAATGATAGGAACAGGATCTAATGACACTCTACTCTTCTCTGTTCCCGGATTACGTCTCATTGTTAAAGAAACGGACGGATACGAATTTGTACAGCAAACAGTTGACAGAATCATCATATATCCCGCAGAAAGATATGATTTTGAGCTTGACTTTCAATATGCGACTGAGGGAATTTACAACATGACCGTGTATATCCTTGAAGGTTCGATAATGAAAATTCGTGAAGGTGTTGCTGGACTTGGCCAAATCCACGTTACCAACAGAGATTCCTTACAAACAATTTCGTTAAACAGAACCACTGAAGTTATCCTTAATTGTCCATTTCAAGTGTATCCCATGAATCCAAACTTCACCTGTCTACCAGTCTCTGAACTTAAATCAAAGACCCCCGGAAATGGGGTGGAATTTGATTCATTAGGAGTGCAAAGAACAGACGAAACATATACTCATTTTTTAAACTTCGGTTTCCCTCAACATTCATCCATAAACGGTCGAAAATTTATTTGGCCTACCGTCTCTGCTCTCTCACAGCCCGCAGAACTGGACACGTCGTGTAAGGGATGCGATGCTGAGAATTCCTGTGAATGTTCACACTCCCTGGAACTGAAGTCAGGCTCCGAGGTCATCATGATTCTCAGTAATTTAGGAACCGGTATGCTTATCACGCATCCTGTGCATATGCATGGTCACACGTTTGAAGTTCTAAAAATAGGATTTCCTTCTATTTCCTCCAATGACGAACTGATAGCTAATGACGATATCCAATGTAGTGAGACCAAGCTAAATAATGAAAGTCAATGTAACAATGCCAGATGGAGAAACTCGTCCTGGAATGATTATAAGACGATCCCTGGGATAAATCTGGAAGATCCAGTTCGCAAAGATACCATAATAAGTCCCTATGGAGGATACACCATCATTAGAATTCGTGCCACAAATCCAGGTGTCTGGTTTATGCATTGTCACATCGACCCACACATGATTTCAGGGATGGCGCTTATGTTAAACGAGTCATTTGAAAATATCAAAGAATTGCCTGAAGGACTACCGACTTGTCATAGCTTCAACGATAAAACCTCTTCGGTAGCGTCCCTCCGATCTGAAGCTGAAGCTGTCAATTTTACAAACGAATCAAACAGTAAGTCTTTTTTTTTTTCTAAGAAATTAAAAACATAAAGATCTAAAGTTGCAAGGTTCAAAGCTTTACTTATCTTTTAGAAAGTCTATAGAAAATGTGCAATTTCATGTTTAATTTATTAGTAACATCATTTATTTTATTTTTTAGATAATGACATCACAGTGATTGTTTTGGGAGTTTTAGTTGGACTTCTTTCTCTCGCCCTTATTGTGGCCTGTGTCAAACTAATTAGAAGTCAGGGCCAGCAAGAAACTGGTCAATCATTGCAAATGCAACCAGTGGCCAGTTAAATCCTTCAAATAGATTAGATATTTTATGCTATTACATTATTACTTACTCTTCGGCCTCAGGGTGTATGGAATAACTAATATTACACCCTTTAAACTTTCCTTTTATGTATTAATTATACATGTAGTTTATTTTTTGGTCTTAAAATAATTTGATGGATTTATGTTTATTTCATTATGTATTGTTTAAATATGTGAATTAAATACAGATTATACATGGTGCTATACCTGCATGTATAGTTTTACTTTCTCCAAAAATAAGATTAGCTATTTCTGGAAGAAAGAAATTTCAAAAGATTACAGTAGTATCCTTTTTCTGTCAGCCTTAAAGTTTTTAATGAGAATAAATATTACAGTGTACCAGTTTGATACTACTCGAAAATATTTGTTTTAATTATTTCAATAAAATCATTGAAAGAGAACTAATCCAGTGCTGAAAATATAGACCTTATGCATTTTAGCTCACCTGAGCTTTTCTTATCCAAAGGTGTCCGGCGTCCGTATGTCTGTCGTTTGTTGACTGTAAACTTTTCAGATTTTCGACTTTTTCTCCAGAACCACTAGGCCAATTTCAACCAAACTTGCCACAAAGCTTAAGCATTCTTGGGTGAAGGGAATTCGAGTTATTTACAGAATGTGCCACGCCCTATTTCAAGGGGAGATAATAAAGAATTCTTGAAAATTTATTGGCATCTTTTAAATGTTTCCTTCTCAAGAACGACTGGGGCAGAAAAGATAAAACTGATGTGAAAGTTTCATTACATACTGTAGATTCAAGTTTGTTCAAATCATAACTCCTGGGTAGGGCGGGGCAACATTATGGGATCAAAGTTTTACATGGGAATATATAGAATTTTTAAAAATCTTCTTTTCAAGAATAGCAAAGCCATTATTAGTCATATTAATATAGAAGCATCCAAAGGTAGTGTAGATTGAAGTGTCCAACTCATGATCCCCGGGGTAGGACAGAACCACATCAGGGGATCAAAGTTTTACATTGGAATATATAGGAAAAATCTTTAAAATTCTTCTCAAGAACAGCAAAAGCCATGATTAGTTATATTAATAAAGAAACATCTTTAAGTAGTGTAGATTCAAGATTGTTCAAATCATGACCACTGGGGTAAGGATGGGGCCACAACAGGGGATCAAAGTTATACAAAGGAATGTATAGCAAATATCTTTAAAATCTTCTTCCCAAATACAGCAAAGCCACGATCAGTTTTATTTATATGGAATCATCCTCAGGTAGTGCAGAGTGAAATTTATTCATGACCCCTGGGTGGAAGGTAGGGCAGAAATGGGGAATCAAAGTTTTACATAGGAATACATTGGGGATGTCTTTAAAAATCTTTTTTCCCAGGAACAACAAAACCATGATTAGTCATATTTATATGGAAGCATCCTCAGGTAGTGTAGATTGAAGTCTGTTCAAATCATTACCACATGGGGTAGGGTGTCCTCGGTGTAGCAATAATATGTGATCAAAGTTTTACATAGGAATATATAGGAAAAAATCTGCTGATGAAGGACAGTGGGGCCATAGTTACTCAGGTGAGCGTTGTAGCCAATGCAGGGTTCGACACTAACGGTAGCCCGCTAGCCCGGGACACCTGAAAATTGAGGTCGGGCTCCTAAACATGTCTTCGGGCTTGTCCTGCAGGGCTACTGCAATTTATTGTCAAACACTAACTCGGAGCATTTAAAAATTAATTTAAAAACGCACAAGTCCCGATTTTGTTACTTCCCGAATCACCCCGTGTTTCGCGATTCTCGGTTACTTACCTTATCGCTTTACATTGCACGACACATCCATATGTTTGACAACCAACCAGTTATCAAGACTTATCAGATACCAAAAAATTAAAGAGATAAACATCATGTGTTAATTTAAAAAATTGCAATTTAATTGATTAAATTATCCTTATTGAAGAAATATTCGTGTTGAAAACGTTGCATGGTTTTCCTCATCCATGTCGTAGCATTGTTGGTTGGTGAAACACGATGCGTTAGGAATTGACAGATTGATAAAGCTTCCATAAGCATTTATTGTTTCTGACAACACCTCAAAATAAAAAAAAAATAATTACTGCATTTGTAGTCCCCTACAGTTTGGGTTATTTCGAATCACGTGTGTACATTACCGCAACCGAACAAATTGCACACGCTGCACACTTGCTGAATATGTCAGATATTTTTGTAACATGTAGCTTTCTTTAAATGCAAGAAATATAAAAGTTAAAGTATGCAAAAGCAACAGCTATTAAAGATTAGCCCTGGTATATATTGGTCATGCAGTGTTGATCTTTTTATCGTACACTGAAATACATTTCACACAGATCTATACTAGCATGCCGGTACGTTCATGTTGTACAGAAATTATAATACTTTGTTTCTGATATCAATTTTCATTTTAATACATTTTGACTGTATCGAAGATGGACTTGCCTTATAATCGGTTATTCTATTGATAAAAAAGTGAAAACATTTCAGTATTTAAGAATGATTTTGAATAAAACTAGTAAGATAAAATGCATAAATATGATTTAACATGTACTAATTCAGATCTTTAAAATAGAGAATTTAATTATTTATTTACGTTTGTCAATGAAATTATGATATACTGATCAGTCTATTACTACAAATGGCGACAGACAGAGAGATGCCATAATTCCACCTATACAGCCTAAAGTCAGAGTTTATCATTTATCTGAATTCTGTTGTATCATTTGCATCATACCTTCACTCTACATACAAACTCATGATCAGTTGCATGTCATGAAAAAAATGTCTTACAATAATTATCACATACTTCAGTAACTTATTGTAAAAATATAACATTTTGCTTTTGGAAAAAAACGGTTTAAAATTAAATATTTTCAATTAATTTTATAGACTAAATACTATAGTAGATAAGCTTCTAGAAATTTAATGGTTTTATTATTTTTTTTATCAAAAATTCTACAGTGCTGCATTTTATACTTCGTATTTTTAGTCATGCATTATTACACACGATCAGACCGTCACACTAGCGCCATGTATTATCAAACTTTCTGTACACGTGACCTGACCAATCATGTTTAAACCGATCAGGCAGTTACCATAAGTCAGGCATTATCACTCTTATGTAGATTTGATTTTTTAGTGTTGCTTACAGACAATGATACAATGACGTAAAGTCTAGTCTTTCGAGTGTAAAACAAGATGTGTCTGTGAAACACTGATGCCCCCGTATGGCATCTTATAGCGAAGGTGAAACTTTCTCACACGCAAATCAAATATGGTGGTAACCAAAGTAAGGTCTTGTCTCGAGGAATGTACCTGTGAAGTATGAAAGCCCTAGCAGCAACAATTCAAAAGTGAGACAAACATCAATGTTATGGTCAAATGGTCAAAATTAATGGTGTCCAAGGAAAGGCCTTCTCACAAGAAAAACACATGTGAAATATGAAAACCCTAACAACAACCATTCAAAAGTTATGAATAAGATTAAAGTTTTTCAAAAGTAGGTCAATCTCCAAGATCAAGGTCAAAGTTGTTGGTATCCAAAGTAAGGTATTGTCACAAGGATTACATATGTGAAGTGTGAAAGCCCTAGCAACAACTATTCAAAAGTAATGGCTAAGGTTAAAGTTTTTCAAAAGTAAGTCAACCTCCAAGGTCAAAGTTAAAAAAGTCAAAGTTGTTGGTATTCAAAGGAAGGTCTTGTCACGAGGATTACATAGATGTGAAGGTTGAAAGCCTTAGCACCAACCGTTCAAAAGTTATTACCAAGGTTAAAGTTTTACAAAAGAAGGTCAAACTCCAAGGTCTAAGGATTAAAGTTCTTGGTACCCAAAGGAAGGTCTTGTCACAAGGATTATACACGTGAAGTATGAAAGCCCTAGTTCCAACTGTTCAAAAGTTATATCCAAGGTTAATGTTGGGTAAAATTTTGCAAAACTGGGTCAAGGTCAAAAGGTCAAATATGACAGTACTCAAAGAAAGGTCTTGTCAAAAGAAATACACATGTGAAATATGAAAGATATAGCTCCAACCAATCAAAAGTTATGGTCAAGGTTAATACACATGTGAAATATGAAAGATATAGCTCCAACCAATCAAAAGTTATGGTCAAGGTTAAGTTTTTGCGGACAAACTAACAGAAGTCGCCCGCGTGGCGCAGTGGTAGAGCGTCTGCTCTAGAGTCGCGGAGTAAGGAGTTGATCCTTACGTAGCGGGTTCGAATCCCACTGTGGGACGTGGAGACCGGTCCTTCGGATGAGACCGTATAAACCGAGGTCCCGTGTCGCAGTAGGTGCCCTCACTGCTCAATGGCCCTAAGTGCCGAGCATGGCTCAAAATTTGCAGCTCTCCACCGGCAAGTGGTGGCGTCTCCGTATGAGTGAAAAATTCACGAGAGGGACGTTAAATAACAAACAAACAGACAGACAGATAGACGGAAGAACAGGGCAAAACTATATGCCCCCGCTTACGGGGACATAAAAAATTCAATCAGTGTAATTTAGTATTTCAACACTAAAGGTTCTGTCATTCTGTCACACTAAGATAACCTTCAAATTATCAGGCACGTAGTATCGGGGGGGGGGGGGGGGCTGCACACACCCCCCCCCCCACTTTTATCCAGACATAAGTTTTTCTATAGGAATAGTTCATTGAAAGTCAGTTTGCCCCCCCCCCCCCCCACTTTTGGTTGCAGTATTGTCAAATAAGGGTAATATAAAGGGAATGCAGTGTTTGAGTAAAAAAAAATTGGTACTAAAGGAAGTTGGAACGATTTTCTTACGAATGGCTACAAAATGGCACGATACATACACGATCTTCTTACGAATACTGACGAATTCAAACGAATATGCACAATATTGGAAACATATAATGAGATAAGTTTAAAATTCTTGAACTTCCTATCAATGTTGGGTGATCATAGCAAAAGATGCAACGCAGAGGAGGCTTTTGTTGTTCAATCTCTTCATTAATTCATTTACCATGATCAGGTTTTATGA